AGTTCCCTCACCCCTCGCCCATCCCTCCTGCAATCGGGAGAAGGCACTTCTGAACCGCTAGCATTAGCAGCCCAATTACTGCGCGCCTCTGATTGGTCGGCGCTGCCGCGGCGCTTGGGTAGGCGAGAGCTATGCTGTCGTTAGAGACGTCCGTATTGGACTGCAAAGGCATTCTCGTGATAAAAGAATTTAAACAAGATTTCCAGTTTTCTCTGAAACTCAAAAATGTTATACGTGGTATAGTTGTAACGAACAGAAATTTTCGCCGAATGAACGAATATCGAATAATCAATTTTTGAAAATTTTTCGAACGAATGAATATCGAATAATTGATTTTCGAAATTTTTCGAACGAATGAATATCGAATATTTGATTTTCGAAAGTTTTTCGAATGAACGAATATTATTCGACTTTCGATTTTCATTTTATTCGAATTCGAATATTCGAATATTGGCACATTCCACAATTCGAATGAACGAATACTTGAATAACCGAACTTGATCGAATATTCGACTAATTTCGAATAAATGTTCGAATATTATTCGAATATTTGAACGCAATTTTCGAATATTCGAATATTCGAATAACTATCTTTTCAAACTACTCGAATGAACGAATATTCGAATAACCGTTTTTTAAAACTCCTCGAATGAACGAATATCGAATAAGTCATTTTTCGAAATCATCGAATGAACGAATTATTCGAATAAAGACCTTTATAAATTATTCGACTATTCGAACAATCGAATAAATGGACTTTCTCGAATATTCGACTATTCGAATATTCGAATAGTCGAATATTTCGAATAAATTACTCGAATACGAATATTCGGTTCCAACTATAATACGTGGGTGGCTTAGGTAAATTTTTCAACTTGCACGTGCAGACTTCATGGTGAAAAGGGGGAAGGGCGAAGAAATCACAAAAGGCCAGTAAAAAAACATGCAACTTTTCCAAATTTTTGTCTTCATAATTCATACATCGTCAATATCGTTATTTGTATGCCTCGCTTGCTTTGGAATGCTCAGAAATATTTGAAAACTTTGATAGGTTATAAGAAAGGCGGAGTAATTAGCGCCGCCCGAGCAGATTAATTAGCGCTAGGACGAAGCGGTTCAGAAGGGCATACACCCCCTGCAATCTCCAAGACCGTAAACCTTCATGAAAAGCCTTTATTCGACTTAAGGGTGCCTTCATACCGCGCCGGCAGCCGCCGCTGGCAGCCCGTAGCAGCCCGCAGCAGCCGCCAGCAGCCCGTAGCAGCCGCCAGCAGCCCGTAGCAGCCCACAGCAGCCGCCAGCAGCCCGTAGCCGCCGCTGGCCGCCTTTGTCATAGAAGCGCAAATTATTAAATTCTTAGTCCTTTGCCTGCGCCTGCCCATACTTTCCATCTTCCACGCCGATGTGATGTGACTGAAGCAAAACATACCTGAAAAAATTAACAAATAGCAACCTGCAGGAACTGGACGCATCCAAAGTCAGAAGAAATCACACTGCGAAGAAACTTTGGCGAATGGTTCAATTGCGAGAGGGAAACTGAGCATCGATAGGATAACCAATCTGCGGTAACAAGATAATAATAACAACGGACAAAGTATGTTGATATATGAGATCAAACTGCGGCAACAGGAAGGAATAAGCGTGGAGGATGGAGGGCGTAGGCGGTTGCACTTGAAATAGTAAGAATTTGATGATTTTGCGCTTGTATGACAAAAGCGGCCAGCGGCGGCTGCTGGCAGGGGGCTGCCATGGGCTGCTGGCGGCTGCTGTGGGCTGCTACGGGCTGCTGGCGGCTGCTACGGGCTGCCAGCGGCTGCTGCGGGCTGCTATGGGCCGCCAGCGGCGGCTACCGGCGCGGTTTGAAGGCACCCTAACTAGCCGCGGGAAGGTCATGCTCTCCAAGAGAGCTTGTGGATGGTAATATTATCTGACACGAAGCTTGTTCAGTCGAAGTGGCCTTTCCAAATGAGACATGTACCATATCAAAGGGCATAAAACGCGATCTGCCTTCCTTATCTGCAGAACGTTTATGGACGAGGAATTACGAGCGTTTTTAGAGCCAAAAATTAAAGTGCTCTGATGATTATCACTGCTCCATTGAAGAGCTAGAGAAATATTACGGCTTTTTTTGGCTCCAAAAAAGCCCATAACTTCTCGTCCATAAATGTTCTGCAGATAAGGAAGGCAGATTTAGATCAGCATTTTATGCCCTCTAATATGGGATAGTAAGTTTCGTCCCGCTTTAGGCGGAAATTGGACTGGCGGGCATCCCAACGGTCTCGCCGTTTCGTAGCCACAGTATATCATATCGCGCTGTGAACCCAAGTCTGCGTCTCTTCATTCTCCTTAGTCTTTGCTTGGCAAAATGCCAGCGCGATGCGCTCGCGAAGCCTCCAGCAATGCGCACGCGCTGCTCCACGTAGAATGTTTCGCCTAATCCGCGGTGAAATCGACTGTACAGTCGAGTAGATTTAGCGGTAAATATAGTGTACTTGCATAGAAGGTGAAATGCGGTAAAATTGGCGCGTGAAGAAATAGTTTCGACTGTGACGCCGGCCAATTGCGCGCGCAAGATACCCGCGCTACTGACGTGGCTACTTGTTCACGCGCAAATTTCACCGCATTTCACCTTCTGTGCAAGCACACTATATTTACCGCTAAATCTAATCGATTGTACATCCCATCTAAAAAGGCCACTTCGACTAAACATGCATTCCGCAAGTTCCCAATGCAAAACCCAGCAACAAACAATGTGTATTGTCTTCTGCGACGCATTGGCAGTTTACGTTCCTAATCTGCGTCCGCGCCACCAATTTCAGGGAACCGGTTCGAAACAGTGAGTTCTATGTACACTGCCGCCTTGACAAACCGAGTTTGCACTGGACTAAAAAAATCTGCATTGATAAAATAAACTCCGGAAAGCATGCACAGGGATATATAATCTGCAGGACCGACTCAATAATTTTTGCGCTTCCGAACAAATTTACATTTTGTGCGTTTCCGACGCAAGGGATGAACATCATTGCGAACGCTCTTCTACGTGAACTCGTGTGAGTATGCGTGCGACCAAGCAGAGATTCGCGTCTGTCTGTTTAGTTATACTTTATGCTCATCCTCTCCCGACTTTTTGGTCACAAGCACAGACATGAGCCAAGGGCAACAACCGAGGGTCAGCAACTCATATGTTTATGCGCAATGCCCTAGAGCCAATGGCGCCTTTGACTGATTCTGAGCGGAAGTGGCGTGCTATACCGGACATTTTTTTGCACTATACGGCGGACATTTGTCATCTAGTATAGTCTGGCTCAATCCGGACCAAGCTGACGTGCTGGGCGTCCGCATCGCCATGGTTTCCACACCTAGTGGTTTGCTATATGTGCCGTATAAGCCTTGTTTGTTCTCTCCTCATTCTCTTAGATCTTTCCGGCAGCGCTTTTTGCGCGCACATGCAACGCAAGCCCTTAGTGTTGCGAGTGATCGTCAAGCCAGTGCTTCGACGTTCTTGTTAGATTAGTTGCTAAGCGAATTTTATGCGGTATACAAACGTTTGAGCTTCAGTGGATTTAAACGATTATAAGCACTGTGATTGATGATCAAACACTGCAAGCGGTATAATAGAAAGGCTTAGTAGGCATCGTTCAAACCGCGCCGGTACCCGTCTGAACTCGCCGGAACCCGCTGGAACCGAGGGATGCAAATGATAAGCCGTTGATTTGCTTGGAATTGAATTTCTTGTGTACCTAATTAGTATTTATCAACTTCTTTTTCATACTAAAAGCCACAAAACCAGTTCTTATTGTGATCGATATGTACATTTCAAATGGCTCGCAGTTTCACGCGTGCTCTGAGATGCCATTTTCCATATTTTCTCAATAGTTTGTCAGATTCCGGTAGTTTCCGACGGGTTCGGACGGGTTTCAGGCGGTTACGGGTTCCGACGAGTTCGGAGGGTACTGGCGCGGTCTAAATGATGCCTTATTGATTCCCGCTTCAGCCACTTCACTATTGGTCAGGTCAGTGATTTGTCCAACAGCGAATTGGATGAAACGGCTAAGCGGATAGGTCTGACGGACCATAGCCACATCTTTGCGTTTTTAACATCGCTGGTTCGCAATGACGTCCTATTACAAGCGTAGGCGACTCAGCGTAAGGGACCGGCCATACTATCTGTGATTCCTGCAATTCGTGCGGTTCCTGTGATTCCTGCTGTCCCGCAACAATGTACATATGTTGCGGAAAAATAATGTACCAATACTGAAGTTCGCAAAGTGCTCCGTATTGCGGCACAGAATTCGAGGAATCACAGGAATTGCACGAATTACAGGGTTCGCAGGAATCACCTCCTGGAATAGTATGGCCGGTCTCTGACCGTCCCCCTTCCGCGTCCCCCCTCCCCCTTTTCCTTCATCAAAAATTTTGCGATCCGCGCCAACTCTTCTTGCGTCCTGGGTAGAATTGCCTCATTTTCCTTCCAAGGAACTATCTCATGAGTAAGCGGCTTAAATTCGGATGTGATGGGTTCTGCTGTTCAAGGCAAAGTTTCTTCTATGTTTTTGAAAAAGACGGTTTATTCTGTTTGCAATTTTTTTAAGTCGTATGCTTGACTCAATCTGTTGTAATTCTCCTCTGTTTTCATCGGTTTTTGTGTCGTTTCGGTGTCAAGCCTTTAGGCTAAACGTATGTTAAGCTGTACGTAATCGGTCGAGAAACAAGCAACAAAGGAGTAAGGGAACTTCAAAGGAGAACTTATGTTTTTCCTAGCTGCGACGCATTATTCTGGAGCGAGTTATTGATTTTTTTTTTACAAAATTTGTTTGCTCTTTGATCTACTAGCATTGTTATATACCATCATCTAAATGCTAATTTACTGCGTTAAAATTCTTGTCAATGACAGAATACTCCATTTGATATTATTTTAGTATCCCAGCACGGTTTTTACGCAATTTTCCATCCACGGCAAGCCTTCCCAGGTTGATTAGTGTGCCAATTTCGCAAGAAAAATGCGCATAACTTTCTTCAGAGTAGGTGCCGCAACTAAGGACAGCTATTTGGAATCAGCATTCGAAGCTTTCCGAATATATATCTCATCTCAAAACGAATTCAAGTTAATTGAACTCCCTTGTTAGAATGAATCATCTGGCTAGTTAGCGGACGAGCTTGTGAATTTTCTACTGGAGAAGGTTGCTGATGTTAGCGGACTATCCGTGTTCTCTCAATTACGTCAATTCTCATCTAACTCGGTGGAACTGCGCCATTGTTTCATCTTTCCGTAGATCATTATTTATATCGATTCAAACTCACATCTTTAGCGATTAAGCTCAATGGCTGGTCACCTTCCAGCTTGCGTCATTGACAATGGGACGGGCTACACAAAATTAGGTTATGCTGGAAACTGCGAACCTCAATTTATAATCCCTTCGGGTTAGTTAGCGATGCTTGCTGTTTGTCATCTTCTGTAAAAAAGTGCATACAGCCATCGCTGTAAAGGACAAAATAGCCAGCTCGAATGCAGCCGCTCTTCGTTGGAATACGTCTACTGGAGGAAGAATTGATGATCTGGATTTTTTCATCGGCGATGAGGCCCTATCTCCTTCCGCAGCTAATTACTCAGCAAAGGTAGGGATTTGATACATATCTATGCAGAACTTTTATCTAGGAGTTTTGCAGTACCCGATTCGCCATGGAATCGTTGAAGATTGGGATTTGATGGAACGATTTTGGGAACAATGCATCTTCAAGTATCTGAGAGCTGAACCTGAAGACCATTTCTTCCTCTTGGTACGCACTTCTTCATTAACTCCATCTTCTTTTTTAAGCTTCATACGCTTCCTTTTCACTCTTTCTATTTTTCGTTTCTTCTTTCAAACAGGATAATTCGAAGATGATAAAGCGTGGACTTTGTAGAAAGTGTTCAAAGTTAGAGAGGCGTGCTGTGGAAAGGAAAGTATTTTACGCTCATGGAATGAATCGGTTTCGGCATACAGTGCTGGACAAAATTATAGGTCGACTCTAAATAGTGCCACAACTCACTCTGTTGTCAACAAAATGTTCCAAAATCTGGTACAGCCGTGTGTTTACCAGCCTACTATCAGTCATCAAAATTGGTCTCGTTTTCGTTTGGTTATTCAAGAAAAAATTGAGTTTTTTTGAAAAAAGCAGGCTTGAAGGCTGGATAAAATTAGGTCGACCTGTTCTACTGATTAAAGCACTTCTTAGCTCCCGAATTTTTTTAGGTAGGCACACATCTAGAAACGTTAAACAGCTGGCTTGGTCGAGCCGTGTCATACCTCCAAAAAGAACTGATTATCTGCTTTTTGCCTTGAAAATGCGTTCACATGTATTTCGCTCCACAAAACCTGCGTTGAGTAAGAAATTCTGCAGTTTCTCAGCTAGATCGGAAGCGACGGGGTTTCATCTACCTTCTGGATGCTCTTTGACGTGAGCATTGAGGAAAAGAAAAAATCCGACCTTTTGCTGCTAAAGCAAATCCGGCATCGACTCAATCGGGAGAGTAAGCCTCAGTTTCTGCCCTAAAACCCTTTATGCACTGTCATTATAACCTCAAGATATTGTAGAAGCATTCTTTACACAAGAATAAAGCTGTTCGCCATACTTGCAAGTGTTCACAAAGCTGCCTTGCTTCTTTTTTGAAACTTGAGTTGTGTGTGCAACGCAATGATGGTGTTACGCAGATCCAAAAGCTTTGCCTAGTGCTACCTCATTTAGATTTTTGACAGTAATTATTCACGAGGTAGTGGAGCTTGTAGTGCATGTTAGCACATGATTCTTCTGAAAATTTTGGTCGGAGCCACAAATAGCTTTGGTGCTTGGCGTAGTCAGTTTCTTCAGAGTGATCTCAGTAATTATTCTCAAATGCTAGGATGTCTAGAAAGTTGTAACCATAGAATACGGACTCCCCTTCGTAGAAACAACGCCTTTACTTTACTTAATGCTTCTGTGGACATTGTAAAAGAAGTTTGAAGGCAGAAATTTGAGCTCAGGATTGCAGTATTGTCAATGTCGGATTTGCTTCAGCAGCAAAAAGTCGGATTTTTTCCTCAATGCTCACGTCAAAAAGCATCCAGAAGGTAGATAAAACCACTTCCCTTCCGATCCAGCTGAAAAACTGCAGAATTTCTTACTCAACGCAGGTTTGTGGAGCGAAATACATGTGAAAGCATTTTCAAGGCAAAAAAGCAGATAATCAGTTCTTTTTGGAGGTATGACACAGCTTGACCAAAGCAGCTGTTTAACGTTTTCAGATGTGTGCCTACCTAAAAAAATTCGGGAGCTAAGAAGTGCTTTAATCAGTAAAAGCTCCAGGTGGACCTATAATTTTGTCCAGCACTGTAGAAACGGCAAAAAAATAAGCTTCATGTTTTCGAAGTTAGTAATAGCATCTGTATAGAACTTGCGAATCCTACTCCCGAGATCACTGACCTCTTTTTTGTTCATAAGGCAAACTAGCAAAAGTTGTACCTGTTTTGCACGTGTCAGTGGTACATTAGCAGAAATTCATCCTCCACGTTCGTCATTCCATTTAAAATGGTACGAATTCTGTTTATAGACGGAACCTCCGCTGAATACACCAGAAAATCGAGAATATACTGCGGAAATAATGTTTGAATCCTTCAATGTGCCAGGTAACTTTCGTAAGCGTAGCGTGCAAGGTCCCGAAAACCATTATTTCTTAAGGTTTATACATCGCGGTGCAAGCCGTTCTAGCTCTGGCCGCTAGTTGGTCCTCTCGCGCCGGTAATGAACGCCCATTGACTGGATTGGTGGGCTTATTGCAGTTTCACCTATTAAACACTTCCTATCGAAGTTTTTGACAGGTCGTAGATTCTGGTGACGGCGTGACTCATTGCATCCCTGTTGCTGAAGGATATGTGATAGGATCCTGCATAAAACATATTCCAATTGCTGGACGAGATATCACATATTTTATCCAGCAGATACTGAGGGATCGTGAACCAAGTATCCCTTCTGATCAGTCTTATGAAGTCGCAAAGGCCATCAAGGTATGAACTCACTAAGGTTTTTGCATACTCGTTTTTTTCATGCTTTTCAACAAATTGGCCATGGTCTTTCAGGAACGTTACTGTTACGTTTGCCCTGACATCTTAAAAGAGTTCATAAAATACGACACGGATGGAGCTAAATGGCTGAAAACTTACCATGGCATCAACAATATCACAAAGAAAGAGTTTGTTGTGGATGTAGGCTACGAACGGTTTCTTGGTCCTGAAATATTCTTCCATCCTGAGGTACTATTCTGTTCATTTCTTCAGGACTTTTTCGAAACCTTTTTTTCAGTTTGCCAATCCTGATTTCACTACCCCCATTTCGGAAATCATCGACACAGTGATTCAACAGTGTCCCATCGATGTACGCAGAGGTCTTTATGAAAATATAGTGCTTTCTGGTGGCTCAACAATGTTCAAGGTTTGTCACCCTTCGTCAATCAAAAGACTTACCATTCCTTGAAGGATTTCGCTCGTAAACTGCAACGAGATATCAAGCGAATTAGTGAGAATAGGCTGGCGATCAGCGAAGCACTTAGTGGAGGGAAGCTGAAGGTGAGCCCTTTTTGATCATACTTACTTTCACTTAAGAGTCAACTTTTTGTTGATTTTTTCTTCTTATTGACCACTCGCTGCTGTGTTGTCAACGCATTGCTTCTTTTTACGGTGTCTTTGTAGCAAATGTGATCTCGTGAAGCTTTATCGGTATAAAAACAACAAAGCCGTAGGTCATATGGTAAAATTAGGTTTCACTCAAAATTCGCAATTTTGATCCTGATTGAAGTAAAGAAAACATCATTTTCACTTTCTGTTTTCAAGTTTGATCTCACTTACTTTCAAACATCGAACTACCCTTGACTTTGCAGCCCAAGCCGATTGATGTGCAAGTGATATCGCATAAGATGCAGCGATATGCGGTGTGGTTTGGTGGTTCAATGTTGGCGTCAACGGTATGCGTTTTGAGATCAGATAAGTCTAAAACAACTCTATTTTTTTTTCAGCCCGAGTTCTACAAAGTTTCTCACACAAAAGAAGAGTATATGGAAAAAGGCCCTTCGATTTGCCGACACAATCCAGTATTTGGAGCCCTAACTTAATTGAACAATTTTCTTTTTTTTGGCAGTGATGAAATTTCTTTGCATGCATATCTCTAATTTATTTCCGACATTTGTTTGCTTTAACAGGCTTGTCTCATTGACAGTACTTTTGAATTGTGATTACTTATCAGCTATTTATAGCTTCGTTGTTTTTGTAAGGCATTGTTTTAAGAGATCCACTAGTTTATCGCACAAAGCACGAGTGTTTAAAGCCTGCTAAACGATGCCTTCATATGAGCGATTTTGCAATCTCTATTTCACTTGTATTTTTAGGAAATGTAATAAATTCGTGTATCCATAAGATTGAAGGGTGTTTGTGTTTTGAGCAGTCACCACAGCGACTACCTAAACATTCTTTATTGTATATAACACCGCTACGAGATGAAAGATCGGGGAGAGGGGAGGGAATGTCTGAGGTGCACAGCTTTGACGCGCTATTATATCTGGCTATTGTCCATACCCTTTTCATGCTGTTTCGCATTAATATCTGCATATACTGATTGAACTTGCTAGTAATATGTGATTTCCTTTTTTTTTTGTAAAGTGGCTTTTCATACAGAGAATTATAGAAGTGGGCGGGTACATGGTCGAACGGTCTGTAAACGCTGAAGAAGCTTTTCACCGTGAAAAATATCGTTTAAGATCTGATACTTTGCTTCTGTTGTACTACGCGCATTCCAGATGGATCTCCCTATTGTAAATTATGCAAAAGAAGAATATGTGGAGACTAATTCTGGCAATAAAATCTGCAAAGTTCATTCAACAAAGGACAGCACCATATGCGGAACACAAAACATCGTTCTTAACGGGAAGGTATGCTTCAATCATATTTTCAACTCATTTCAGTTGTTCCTTGAGCCATGGTTCTAGTATCCGTGGCCAGGCAATTTCTGGTTACTGTGCACGTGTTGAAGCGCGTCATTTAATAACCCGAGATAAGGGTATCAACGTTTTTCGAAGCCTATTATTTGATGACCACACGTGAAATTATGCTCAATCGGCCGAATCTTCTGCTAGCAATGGAAGGCGACGCAAAGACGAGGCGCTTAAAAAATGTTGTTATCGATCACTTTGTAAACATTAGTCCGCTAGTATCGAACTTTAGAACATTGTGCAAAAAGATGTGGTAGTTCGTGGCGATCTAGCTGCTATCCGAAGCGGTCGTTTCTGTATCATACGCGAGGGGACGATAATACGACCAAGTTCGAAAAAGTTTAGCAAAGGAGTGACATTGTTTCCAGTTCATATTGGTGACCACGTCATGATTGAAGAGGTACGGCTCAGATCTATAGTTTAACTCCGTTGAAGAACATTGTGCACTTGCCTTTTTCCAGAACTGCGTAATAAGTGCAGCTCAGATTTGCTCTTTTGTGCATATCGGAGCTGGTTCGGTCATTGGCGGAAGTGCTGTGCTAAAAGAATGCTGCCGGGTGTTACCGGGCAGTGTTGTTGCAGCCGATTCAGTTTTCCCGCCGTATAGCACTATTTCAGGAAATCCAGGTTTTTTGATTTCTTGTAGAAAAAAATAAACGAGAAGTTTGTCCATTTTAGCTAGAATCATTGGACAAGAACCGGAATGCACTGAGGATCTGATGACAGAAGCAACAAAGCAATACTATGACAATTTTCAACCGTCGAATGTGCCAAAAGCTTCATTCTCTTGACGATCATCTACACTTTTCTTTGTGAGTGTTCGACTTTGGCAATGTTCTAACCGGTAAAGCATAAATTGTACAGTAGCTCAATTTCATCAGCACTCACAAAGTATAACGATACCGACCTACCAGTTTATCAACAAAAAAGCCACTGTCAATGCAGCTGCTTTTTTTTGATAACCTCGAAGGCAGTGTGTGGGCAAGATATCTAGAACTTTTTTGCTTACCTAGACTATCCTCATCGTATGGAAAAATTCATCAAAAAAGTGCGAAAACGGCAAAGACAGGCTTTTCGCAAAGTGCTTTATAAACTCCTAGGAGTATATAGAAATTTAGGGTGCAGAAGTGCATGGCTGTACGTCCTCAAAGGCAGCGGCACGGAAAATCCTCAAAGCATCTATCTCTTTACCTGGGGTAATGTCAAGTCCAGGAGTTGCACTCTCCTGACTTGAATCCTTCACCTTGATTGTCTTACTTTATGTTTAACATACCATTATGACTAGAATCTTTACTATATATTTATATGATAAGGAAAGGGGAGGATAACCCGGTCACCCGGTTAGGCAGTCTGGAGTTGCTGGGCACCGCCCAGTTGGCGTGGGGACTATCGGACCATCTAATTAGTCTGCGTCTCGACATGTCCATTCCATAGTAAAGCCCGTCCCGAGCTTTCATCTTTGACCATGGCTTGGGAGTAGTAAACCATTGCCGTCATCGACTGCCCATTACCCATTGTTTCATCACTGCTTCGTTTGAGGGCAAGAAATTATGGTGTGGTTGTCATCATCGTCTTCAATATCGCCCATATACAGGGCTTTACAACCTGAGTGTCCCACCCGCCCCGCTAGGACGCCACGCTTAGGTCCGCGCAGCGTTCGTGGCGCTGGCTGCACGTCGACTGAAGCTTGGCGAAATCCGGGCGATACGCAGCAAATGCCGCGCGCGGCCTGAGCGAGGCGGCCGCGTTGGAGGAGCCGCGCAAGCGAAACTTGCGACTCTCAGGTTGAAAAGCCCTGTACCATTTGTTTCGTGGCTGCTGCGATTGAGTGCAGGAAGGCGCTGTTGAAACATCAAGATAGCCCATAAACTATTTGTTATTGTTGCTTCAATTGAACGCAGAATTTGTGTTGTTGATCGCTCAGTGGGCTTCGTTGCTGGATCGCTCTTCGCGAATAAGGACAGGTGGAAAAGGGCTTAAGGCACGGCTCTCATACGCCCTGTCAAAAGAAAGAGCTCGTCTCGAGAATCAGAATCAATCGCAGCAAAATGAGCCTGGGAATGAGATAATTATTAACTGGTTTGCGGGTAAGGCAACTAGGAACGGATGAATGCGATAATGATGATATCAAAACGTCGTGGATGGATGGGCTCTATCCGAGCGGAGGGACGTATTGCAATGCTTGGATGAGGATAAAACAGCATGGTAGGAACGGCATAACTCAAAACTTGGAAAGCTTGTGGCCATGGGTTGTCATAAATGTTGAAGAAACACATATACGTGAAAAAAGTGCGGACAGTGATTTCAAATGCAAATTAAAACTGCTAATGTGACAGAATGTTCAAAATTTTGATGTTTTGAAGATTCGTCGTTACAGCACTCAGAAAAAAAACCGAAGGCAATAAAAACATGAAATTTTCAGAAACTATCATGTGGGCAACTCAAGAGGAAACTTCCCTGACCTTACTCACAAAGGCGTGAGGGAATTTATGACTGAAAGGCTTCTCCGAGCCGCCAATCGAAGTAGCCGTTCCTTTGATAGTGCAAACGCTTGCGGCTAACTTACTCTGTGCCAGTAGCCGCCGCGAAAACGTGTTTTTTTTGGAAAAGATTTTGCTACTGACACTTCACACACTCGAGTATGTGTTCATTCTAGTCTTTCTCATACGCTCTGAACATCTGAATTTGAATGAAAACGGTCGTTTGGTTCATAAGCTGAGACAGAAAAACCCGGTTTTGCATGCATTTATTTCAAACTATACCAAGGGAAAGAACTGCAATGTAAAGTTATACCTTCAATTGGTGATTTTGTCCAACTTCTTTGTCAGCCGGGTTGGCTGATAGGATGACTCTGTAGTCTAGGTTAGAGCGAACTTCGTAAAGCTATCGCTTGCTCACTTCATTCGATTTCTTTCATACTTTCCACAGGCTGTTTTGCTTCAAAAAACTAAGAAAACTGTAAAATTTGACTCTGTGGAAAAGAAAAATTCATTTGTCTGGCTTTTAGTTTTGAAAATCTGAATTGAAGCTGTTGCACTGTACGAATCGTCTGTAGCTATTTCACAAAGCAGTTCCACAAGGTGTTCCAAAAATATGTATAGTTGATTCGTTGACCGCACGGACTGGACATCACTGCGGAGCATGCGCCGCGAGGTACTAAAACGCTTGCCCCAGTAGAAATTCGCTATTGTATAGGCGATTCGTAGCACGCAAAGTTGCGGATCTATCTGCGTTTCTGTGATCGAGCGCCCTTTCGTTTCTCTTACCATCTGTTGCCTTGCCCATGCACGAGCTATCTTGCTCGGACGCAAAGGCGCCCAGTCTTTGCGTAATTTGAATCGCCGGTACAAGTCGTGCTTTCGCGACAATTGAGCCGCGCGCGCGTGGTCCAGTCTTTGAGCAATCCGTGCGGTCAACAAACCCACTATATACATTGTTTGATCGTTGATATCTCTTTTTCCAAGAAGTCTTTTACCTGCCTCAGGAAATACCATTCTGTGGAGCCGGTCAACTTAGATTTACAGTATAGAGCAAATCACCGATTGCTCTTCATCACTGTAGGATTACTGTTGATTAAACTCATCTTTTCTGCGCCTTTGTGAGCTGCATTTCGAAAATTGATTTCAGAAAATCTGAAAAGCAGCAGAATTTTCATGCGTGCTGCCTCCACTACTTAATTTTCCACAAGGTTTTAAAGCTTTCTAAACGATATAATCACAGATTCAAAGCGCATGTAAAAAACAGCCGTCATGTCAAACTTGGCATAACTAAGAAATTAACTCTTAGGGTGATATGCAAAACTGGTCTAGCAGAAGTGTTTTTAGGTTCCAACGTGAAAGGCGTTCTGAATACGGTTACCAATAAAACTCAGAACCTTCTACAAAGTTCGTAATTTTCAGTAATGAAGAGTGATCGGTGATTTGCTGCATACCTAAATCTATACGAAGCCGGCTCTCAAGAATGAGAAAATTTCTGAAGGCAAAAGACTTCTTGGAAAGAAAGATATTAACGAACAGCAGTGAATATATCTGTGTTCAAGACAGGTTCGCGCAGGTACCAGTAACATGGCCATACACAACGGGGGCGGGCGGGTGACTCTTCATTATTGATCGATACCGATTTTATCGATTTTTTTTCGCTTTTTTTGCAAAGTTTGGGCTAAGGGCTTGGAGTTCACACAGGAGGTATGTGAGCGAATATTACAATTACGAATATGAATTATGAATTACGAATATTACAACCGTTTGTAGAGATAGCCATTACTTTTAAAGGCTACTGCATGACGAGGGCGCAAAAGCAGTATTAGTTGGGCGGGCGCGAACGCGGCGCGCGCGTATTGTCGCCGTTGTAAGTCCTACGTCATCAGCTCTGCGGCAATAAAGCCACGTTCGCCCCAAAAGATATTGCGCCTTCGTCATGCAGCAGCTTACATCGACTTTTGCGAAGTTTGAGCTACGGGGCTGGGGGAAGGCATAAGGAGGTAACCTTGATTCAACTGGCTTGGCTACGAGAAGGCGTGGCTAATTAAGGCCGCTCGCGCCCCCGACACACCTGCGTCTCTCTCGCGCAAGTGCTCTCTGATCACTAGCTAGCCTTAATTAGGTCACGGAGCCCCGCCTTCCCGAAGTCAAGCCAATGGAAATAAATGTTAAGTGAGCATGAATTGCGAAAACATGGTGGGAACTGGGTTGTAACTGGACCGGGACACGGATCCTTTGTACAGGAATAGGGATGGTGAGCCTTTCCATAGTGTATAGACAAGGCCAGGGAGCCAGGTATGCCAGCTAGTCGCACATATGTAAATCACTTGGATTGATTGTTCAAAAGCATATTAGTGGAGTAGTTTCTCCCTTCACAGTCGGTACTAGGTCCTCTCTCGGTCATGTGCCATTAGATATGAAGACGACAAAGGTCCGATCTTCCCATACCTGATCAAAAATAGACTGCTAATAGAATGCATGAATACTTTTCTCCGTCAACATTACAAATAAGACAAGATGTGACAAGCTTATCTGTACTCTGCGTTCGTATATGACGTAAAATGATCTTTTGTTCAACAAAGAAGGCAGAAAAAACTCCTTACACTGCCACTTTTTCTCCAGTGAAAGCTAAAGTATGATTCACTCACTTTAAGCTTGTTCGATGATGCCTGCCTTGTTACGTTGCCAGTTGACGCTGGTTTTTTATGATATCGAAACAATCCTTCTTTCAATGGGTGTGTTGATACAGACTGAGCAAGAACAATGATGATCAACATTCTATGGCGTTTGATTATGGTAGGATTGTCTTGCATAGGCATAGAGTTGCTTGCGATCACTGCCCACGCAATGCACCGAGAGAACTTTCCCACGCGATTTTTGAAACGAGAATGATCTCGTTTGTTTGAATGGTCTAGAACTTTGTTGCGTACTGCGTCAAGGTCGGAAAATTAAGCTGACGCTAGTTTAACATCCTAGCACTTTTTTCAAGCAGATTCCAATCTGCACGTCGTCTTATGACATTCAAAAGTTTGTTAATTACTCATAACAGCAAGCCCATAACTCGCGCCCATAAAGCCCATAAAGCCCATAACTATGTGTTTTATCTCAAAAGGCAAATCTAAGTTAGTATCCTTCCTTGTTAGACCATGGCTAACGAGTGGAGAAGCATAGCACACTAACTGCAGATAAATTATTTATTCCACTAAGTAATAAATATTTTTGGTTTGTATACATATCATTAAATATTTGGGTCTAGAAAAGCTAATGCAGTCAAAGTAAATCACAAGTAGTGCTGACATGCAGCGATTCAATCCATCGTAGTAAAGTAATCACAATACGTGCATCATGGGAAAAGAGGGGGATAAACTGAAGTAATGAAATGTAGGGCTTGACAATCGTAAACGGGAAGTCCCACTCAGGGAGGGAAAGGCACCGATGCGACTGGTAGCAGAAACATTCTACAAATGATCACAACGTATCGAGGTTTGACCACCTCGTGTGTAACGTAAGGCCACTCTTGATATATGGAAACATGAAACGCAAAACAAATGAGGAAAAAGTCTATTTTCTATATATGGGAATGGACACGTGAAAAATTTGCGCCCTAAAATGAAATAAAAATCGATGCATGCGTACCAAGTGAGCAAGAAGATAGGGGAAAATGGTGTCATTTGTCACCTAAAGAATAGATAGCTGAGGGTGTATCGTATTTTTTTCGGCTTTCATTGGGCCTCCTCTCCTAGCTCCGTCAGTCTTCCGAGGGCGACGAACTGGCATGTCACCAGCAGTAACACCCGAAAGAACGGAAGCGTCAATTCCGCATGCAGCCAACTGCTCAGCCAATTTGCGCTGTAGAGCCTCGAGCTGATCAGGAGACAGCACGTCTGACTGCATTTGAATACCTCCACTGACAATCTTCGCTACTGGAGCTGCTTTTGCAGGCTGTGCTGGTTTCTTCTCGTCTGAAACCACAAATATAGCAGAAGACAACTAACTATTTTGAGACGAATGCTAGAGAACGCTGCTGCACGCACTGTTCAAAAGCTTGAACAGACCAGTACAAGTTCCTAAAAGGCATTCTCGAGTTTCTCATCTTTGATTTAGTAATATATTTGAAATCCGGGAACGGGGAAGTGACAGTGGCCAAATTGTTAGTAAGGGCAACCAAGCAGACTCGTAAGGTGCATTGTTGAGAGATGTTGACTTTGCCCCTCAATATAAATAATAAACGTGATTCAAACATCCAACGAATTCTCGCGCTCAAAAACGAAACTTCAGTTTCTATGCTCAAATCTGTACTGTGCATACTATAAAGCCAGACTTGAAAACACTAATCATCAGCTTTTCCCAATCCTAAGCGATCTCTCCTCTCGGAGCCATTTTGCACACAGCAATCTAATATGCTTTCGATGATACGTCACTTGTTCTAACTAGGATGCTATATATTTTGGGCATGCTTTTGTTCATAACACTTTAATTCGAATAATGAAAACGCATCATGCTAGGTCAACATTTTTTTTGCACACTGGTGCGGCTACGCACTCTAGAGTATTGTGCTAAGAGTCATGACTTTCAGGTGTTCAAGTTCAAAATATGGTATGTTTCAATCAATAGGATGTCAAACCACTATAATTTCGCTCTGAAACTGCACGCTTTCTTCCCCTTACCAATCCTTTCCGCACAGGCTCAACAAATGTATACTATTTTAAGCAAAGAACAGTGAGATAAATGTGTTTGAACATCCCCACACTCTCCATCATTATGCAATCTCAAACGCAACGACGAGAATATCGTATGTTAGACGTTCACCATCAATGCCATAATGCCATAAAAATGGTTTTTCGAAAACGTCAGCGAAATCATTGCTACAAGCTATTACTTTGTTCTGGTGGGAATTTCACTTCAATGCAGAACGAGAATAATCCTGTTTTGATTACATAGTTCTCTATGACAGATCGTCATTCTGCAACGCTAAATAAACAAGCATCGAATTTACAATTCATAACAGAGCAGCTGATTGATCACAGCTGCTATGGCATAGCATTCATGAATTCGCAAAAATCGCGTTAGTGAATTGTTCGAAACAGAAGAGAATCTGACTTGAAACGTTCACAAACCTTTATGTGTAGGACTCAGATTGACACCAGAGTCTGCACCAAGTGAGCTCGAGATGCTTGACTGGCTGGTAGCATGCTTGATAGCAGCTGCCTGAACCGGAGATACCGCTTTTGGCATACCAGTTGGAGCTGCTACCGGTGCTGACGTTCCGCGTGGCGAAGTTTCCACAACTTAAACAATCACATAAGTCGATAATACAACTATATCACTTGCAAAATAAAATGCTTCCGAGAGAAAAGATGAAGAGGATTTTGGTTTTCTGCTGATCAAGCTGGCCAACGCCGCCAACGGTCTCCTTGGTTTTTCACTGAGGTGCAATAAAGAAGATCGATAACATTTTCAAAAAATTTTTTTAAACGGATCCCTTCCAGATTTCCAAACTATCATTTTTAGAGAAAAGGAAGCAATAATGTCGCAGCAATATGCGTAAGAAAACGCATAATCGTTATAGCTAGCAATCTCACAATAATAACGCATGCTCGCGCATGCCCACAAATCGTGCTCATCGAATCATATTGAATATCATTTCTAAAGCTGCTCTAAAAGTTCTGCAATTCATAGTACTTTGAAAAAAAAAAGCCGAACCCACGACGGAGATGTACAGCCCCTTCTCAAGGAATATCCTACTATAATAAGCGCTAAGAGTGTTTACGTGTTTTTGTGTGTCTGTCTGTCTGTCACGAAATTCGTAAAGCGTGCTGAGCTCAAATTTTGCATAGCACTTGCTACTGGCATGAAAGTCATGCAAAAGCACAAGCAGATTCGTTGAGTGGGTCTCTTAGAAATTCCGCGTCAAACGGATCCACTTTGCATTTGGGCCACAAATTTGGGTCCGTAATTCCACTTTTTGCAGAGTGGTGGATGTTTATGGCAAATAAAAGTGCAAGCCATGAACTTAGGCCCCCGAAAAGTGATCAAAAGTCCATTACTTTACAAAAATGGCGCCAGCCAGTATTGGTTGCATAAATGGTCAGTTTGCCAAGGTTTTACCAGAGCATTTGACGAGATTTTGAAACAAAAATGTAGCTCAAGTGACTACTGTTCTTATGGCGACTGTCATGGGAAAATCAAAAACCTACAAAAATTTGCATTTGTTCTCCTGCAAAAAGTTTCATCCACGCAAAATGACCGACTTCACATGAAAAAGCTTTCAAAATGAGTAGTTGTTTAAATTTTGTCCGTGATACTCGGCATTGCTTGGTGAGTTTTAATGCCATCATTATGCGGAAATGAGTAGGGGCTAGACAGTAGAGCAAGTGCAAGCCTCTGCGAAGCAGAGGTGAAGCACTGGTGTATAAATGGAGCTGAATGTCTTTTTGTATGCAAGTATGTCTGTATGGTGTACGTAGTTCTGAACAGAAACCATTATTTATGAACCACCCTAACCAACCTTGGCACACATACACTTCGGGACGGGCTGGTGCCGTACGCTACTTCTCGTCATTGTTGAGTATCTATTTTGTCAATTTTTTGCAAATTTTCACCTACGAAGCTGGGAGTCGGCACAGGAGGAGGGGGGATGGGTAAGTGAGCATGCTGATTACGATGATATTACTGAAGGGCCGTCGGAACTGGGTTTGCCAGCTAGTAAGAAATAAAGATGACTACCTGAACCAAATTTCTCAATTAGCGAGATTAGGTGATTGAAGTCTGCATCAATAAACTTCGAGTTAGCTCCACAAGCAGCCAACAAAGTCTTTTCACGTCCTGTTATAGCGGCACGAAGAGCCTAAACAAACTTTGATGATCTGGGCCAATAACAAAATTGAAAAATGAACCTTGAACGTTTGTTGGATGTGTTCAGTAGGAGTGCTACTTGGAGGTTTCACCTCAAGCGCTGAAATAAAAATGTTAGGTTTTGTATGTATCATGCATACCACAACACTCTGACGGAGTGACTTAATATTGGCAAACCATGAACAGAAATATCAATCCACAATGAAGGTCTAAAGGAAGCTCAGGCAGTGGGTTGTCAGCTGTTTCCCGAGTTTTGCAAGCGCCACAGTTCATAACCAAAAAAGCAATTCTCTCTTCACTGACAAGCAAAATTTTGCAGATGAATGCATTTGGTGGTACCCACACTAAAATAGATGACTATTCAGAAAATCACTTTCAGAAGACAAATGCGCATTTGGAACTACTATGATTGTGACAACTACTGGCATTTACAACTCCTTATATTCTTGACCAGCTTAATCCGCTTAGCCATAGCAGACCGCGCTGCCATACAATTCATTGCGATGAGAATAGAAAAGATTGGTCTCCATCACGCATGTATTATTGAAAAAGTCGCATGGACAGTCATGTCTTGTCAGCAGTTAGAGAAGTATGCCAATCAACTATGATAGAAGCATCGATGCCAAACTTTCAGGAGGAAAAAGGGTAAGAATATAGATTGTAGAACTACGAAAACACTTACTTTTAGCTTCATTTAGGTACCCATTGGTCTGAGGGGAAGGTTTGCTATCCAGCTCTGACGTGGGAGGCGCAGCCACAGCTGAAAGACATACTTGAGAAAATAAAATCTCAGCTGTTATTTTTTGCTTACGCTTAGTTTCCTGAGGGGATGAAGACTTCGGCACCTTTGACGGAGAAGGTGTAGAAGAAACGGCGGCTCCTGCAGGAGTGGTTTCCGTTGTCGTTGGCTTACTCTTCTTCTTCTTGTTCTTGTTCTTGGATGAACCACTTGTTGGGCGAACCCAGTCATCCAGCACTTCGGACGCTCCACCTGCTCAAAGAAAAGACTCTCAGAAATGTCCCAATATTCAAATCTTTGATAAATGGTGAACATCCTATTCTTGAGCTGAACTAAAACCCATATACTAACTTCTTTCTCAAATCTGCACCATTTATACTCAAACCTACGCGAATATTCCTATACACAATATCTTCTCGCCACTTGGAATAAGCTTGTGCCTTCCAAGATCGAAACTTTCAACAGAAACCAGTGACCTTCAAAGTTCACTCTACAGCTCAGAAAGGCTTCAAACGGCAAACACTTTGCTTTTTCATTGGAACTCGTCTAGACTATTGCTTGCAACTACTGTTGCCCGAAAAGTAGTACAATGATCACTAGTTTCAGTACACAGATTGAAAGCTAGCCAGGCCAACTATTACAATGATACATCGTTGCGAAAGATATCAGAAGAAGGCAAGAAAGCAAGCAGGCCTGTTGTTTTTTTTTTCGACTATTGAACCGTCAGAATCGCGGTTTTCCTTTTCTAACTCGATTAGTCAAGATATGAGTCAAGATAATCTTGGCTGAAGTGGAAAATCTGGTCTCGAAACTGGAAAATTACACACCTTGGAAGCTTTGCGAAATCAATTTTTGCATGACTGAAAACAACGCTGCAAAACGTCCTGATTATCTTGATCCAACCTAACATCTCAATCTAACTGCACGAAGCCGCATTATTGTATGCAATCGTTTTCAGACCCATACGAATCGCTAATAGCATATGATCTGGATCACTACCAAATGTAACAAGTCCAGATGAAGGTGACCGCTAAAGTGGACTTGAATTGCTTTCAGCTAGCGACGAAAAAGACAGTCAAAGCTTCTCCCTGCAGTAGAGTGTAACGACAGCTTTCAGCAGTAAAAACCGGGTAACTGCGTCCTAAGCGAAAGCGTTCTTCCTCGAAATTATCTCCTTCTACTTAAAGCGAAAATCTCGCTGCTCACTTTCGATAAGCAAAAGATTTACTCTCGTGAAAAACCTTCCAGGTCCCCAACTTTAGTGAGCAAGTACGCAGCTTTCATAAATTGAAACTGGTAAAACTATGTAGCAGTAGTCATTTTGTTTCCAGTCATTCCTCATTTGTCCGAAAAACATGCCAAAATGTTACTACCGTCTCCGAGCTACAAAGAGATGGACGTGCCGCGGGGGAAAAATCAAAAAAATTGCATTACAATAGAACTTATTGATTTCAACCACGTTGGCAAAAATCTGCTATGCTGCTCTTATTCTGTGGCTGCGACACAACGTCATCAGTATCATTATTAACACCTTACGGTAAAAGGCAAGCTATCGAAGTTTGGACTGTGGCTTAGAAAATGAAGTGCAATAAGTAGTAAATCAAATGCGTTCATCACTGAGAAATGGCTAGAGTATACAAACCTTCACAAAAAGCTTGAATAGTCCGCTCCACATTCATGTCGAAGGAGTGCAAAGCCAGAACAATGTCATTAGTACTGACACCATGCACAACTTCGCGCACTTTTGCAATTTTTTCGATGATGATCTTTTTCTCCGCAACCTTCGACATTATCCTGAACAATTTTAGTTAGAGGAAATATGCACAAACAAGTCATGCAAAAAAACTGGACGAGACAGCAGACAGTTCTCATGAATGAGCAAGATTAGCAATTCTAATACCCGAAAAACCCTTATCTACAGAGTAGAAAGGAAGCAAAGCAAGTGTAGCAATACCGTTAATCCAATATCTTTCACCACAACCGCCCTCCATGCAACGAAAACCAAAGTGACCACACTCAGATTGAGTTCAGCTTTTTGATATCACACTGCATCAAGACGATAAAGCTTTTTGAGACAGCTTAGAAGAACCGTACTTTGTCCCTAAAGCTTTGGCAAAAAGTCTGATGGACTGCAGCATGTCATATGTATTGACATTTATGTGCTAGAAACTGGTATCACCACTAACCAGACAAGTCAAAGACTTGCATTCATGTGAAAGATTGTCATTACCATCAAATATGGCAAAATTATCAGATAACGAATGACCATAATCAGTGACAAACACCTTAACCTATTTGACAAAATGTGCACAGTATGATGAGATACGTGACGAAACATCAAATGCGCAAAAAGTGCTATGCGCAACATTGTGCAAATAAGCATGATCATAAGCAGAGCGTACACTAACTTTGAATCACATGCATGACATCGTCAAACAGAGCAATGCTTCATGAAAATATGCACAGCTTACAGAGTAGGAACGTGTTTGCTAAACAACCGAGAACACCAAATTTGCACTCAATTCACACTTGCGCTCGATTTGCACTGAAATTCTAGGAAAACTTGGGCCCTCAGACCTCAGCGGTTCTAGATGAACTAAAAGCGTATCTGGTCAAAATTTCAAATTCTCAAAAGAAATCAATGGGTGGGCACAAGAAGCTAGGAAGATTCGAAGACGATCGAAGCACTCAGCGTGGCAGCCACGTACGGATCAGCACCACTGACCTCGATAAACGCGAAGTTGGCACGCGACGCGGCCGCAACGCGGCTGACATGCACCGAATACGGTAGTGAGGACGGTTTCTTTCTACCCTTCTTTCAAAGCTTCCAGAATCTCTGCTCTTGAATCTAGTCGAAGCCCTGAACACACTGTAGTGTATGGGATGTAAATGGCGGTTGCTGGTACTTCTTGCAACCTCCCGGAAGCTGAAGCGCCCAAAAAGTCGGATGCGGTCTCGACACGATCATCTCACTGCAGCTACAGTAAGCTGTACCCGCCTCGCATTTAGGATCGCCGCGCTTTTCACTTCTGTGGCGGTTTCGCTTCGTAACGTGTTGAACATTTTCTTTTGTTTTTGACTGAAAACTTTTTTATTGACTTCTTGGAAATTGGTTCTAACAGAGTAGTTTCTTGCCGTGTGAACAGTGCACCTTGGGTGGGGAGGAACGCTGGAAATGTAAAGAAGTCAAAGTTGGAAGTAAAGTCCTTTATCTTATCTGGTTTCTTTGATCTTCTTGATGTAGAGAGTGAGTCTGTGACGATTTCTACATTTGATACTCTCAATTGCTAGTTCCTTGTGAACGTGTGTGGTCACAGTATGTCTTCTCTTCCTTAACCGGGGTGGAGGACTATATGTCGCCGGATTTGGAAGAGTCCCGCGCGGATTCCCTGCAGGAACGCATGTCCGCGCATGTATAAGGGTGCGTATTTGTCGCAACTGACCGCGGGGACCGCCCTTTTTCGGCGACATATAGTCCTCCACCCCCTTAACCGAGCTTTTGATTTTGTTTCACTCGCTCAATGTATTGCATTTAGGGGTAACAATGTCGAAGGTATCGCGTGATGCGTTGAATGAGGCAGTTGCCGATGTTCTCAAGGGAGCACAGGAAAAGAAAAGAAAATTCAGGGAGACGGTGGAACTTCAGATCGGCCTCAAGAACTATGACCCACAAAAGGACAAGCGTTTCAGCGGTTCCGTCAGGTACTCCTACCTGTAGTTTACAGGGAGCCATTTCTAGAAAATGGCGGACCCTCACCCAGGGTCTTAAATATTGGGGAGGCTATGCCGAACCTTGTATGAGATAACGCTTGAGCGTGGTGAGCATCATTTTCTTTCATATTGAAAGTAAATGCCTGACTTTTTGGTCACACGTCCCAGAAAGAGACTGGAAAGAAGGTGCTTAGAAGACTGGAAAGGGGGTGCTCAGAGGGAGCGTGCAAGTGGACGGCGTTACAAGCTCAGCAGTGGCGGACCCAGGCTTTCCATTCGGGGGGGGGGGCGACAAAAATTTTTTTGGGATGGAGGTGCGTGGCTAACGCAAATTTTTTTTTCAACTTCGAAAATTTTTTTGGGATGCTTCCTAAAATTTTCCGGGCCCTGACCCAAGATTTCAGAAAAAGGGGGCGTGGCCGCAGATACAAGGCTAATTTGAATTTTTAAAAATTTGTTAAAATTATTCTGATTATTTACAAGTAAAAACAAGTCCTCTGCACATTTTTATAATACTTAAGCAACTTTCAAAAATTTTGCGACGCATTCTCGAGGCCCCACCCCACCCCACCCACCCCACCCCCTCGGTACGCCACTGAAGCTCTGCTATTGGTTCACTTTTAGTGTTAAAATTTCGGCACCGAAAGCGAAGCACTATATTGAGCGGAAAATACAATATAATATAATAGTCTGTGAGCATTCTGAGCAGCTTTGTACGTTGGAATGGGGATCGCATCCAGGTCATAGCCTGCTAAGCTGCAGAGTTTTCCTAGACTAGTCTAATGATCGGTACTGACTGCTCAGCGCGCAGAGATAATGAATGATAACGTAATTAAAACCCCCAAAGTTCTTCCCTCAGGTCCCGCATTGTCCCTCGATTAAATCCGATTCCTTCAACACAAGTATAGCCATATTATAGTTGAAGCAATGTCGCAGAACTTGTCGTAACCCTGATCAGTATTCATAATTCATAATAGGTACGTAACTTTGGAGAGCGTTGATTTTGTCTGTCTACAGTACTTCAACGACCAGCATTCGAGGTGTCCTTTGTGCGAGGTTCTAGCGAATCAAATCTTTAGGATCGCATATAAATATGAATGTATATATATAGGGTGTCCCAAAAAATGTGACCACTGTTTGATCGTCAATAATCTTGCTTTCATGTCTTCCGCCGAGCTTGAGGTGCCATTCTGATGAGCGAGGTTCAACTTAGATTTTCAGCATGAAGCGAATTTCCGATCTTTCTTCGTTACTGTAGGATTACCGTATAAACTTTCAACATATTGCGCCAGTGTGGAATAGGCCTTTTATTGGAAAAAATTTCAAAAAATCTGGAAATTTGTGTAGTAAGGTTTTTAGGCATGCTGATTCCAGTACACAACTTTTCACCAGTTTTTGAGCTCTTTTAATGGCGTAGTCGGACTTCTGATGAACATTGAAAAAACAAATTTTACCCTAAAACAAAATAACTTATGAAGGAAGCATCACAGTAAATTGCAAAAATCATGTATAAAAGCGACGTCGATTAGTCCAGTGCAAAAGTTTCTGGCTTGTTTGACTTTCTTCCTGAGGCAAAAATCGCTTTCACTTTCTTAAAATTCTCAAAGTTTATACCGTAATCCTACAGTAACAAAGAAAGATCGAAAATTCGCTTCATGTTGAAAATCTAAGTTGAACCTCGCTCTAATGGCGCCTCAAGCTCGACGAAAGACTTGGAAGCAAGAGAGTTATTAACACAGTGTTCACCTTATGGGACACTTTGTATATAGGTGATTCATCGCGGCGAACAGAGCGGGTGTCGACTAGGATAGTTTGTGCATGGGATAAAGACCAGAGCAGACGGTAAGAGCGATGAAGGAGCGCTCGATCAGCGAGACCCCGACAGCGTCCGTAGTGACACTTTGCTTACGATGAATTGACTTTACACGAGTTAAAGAAATTCAGCATTTTCGCTTGTCTGATCTTCTGCTTGCGAATGCCTTGGTGATTAATGGTGACGGCGTATATTATCATTTGAGGCGGGCACTGCAAGCCACTTTGTGACTAGAAATTGGATAATTGGTGAAAGAAAGCGTTTGAGTGAATAACTGGTCTAGAGAAAAGGTTGGGAGCTGAATAGTTGTAGTTTAATTGTCTGTAAACCCTCCATAGATCAGTGGGGTGTTGAAATCATCCAGAATAATCTCACAACTTTAGGCTGAAGAGCATTCCCCGACCTGCGATGAAAGTTTGCGTGTTTGGAGACCAGCACCATCTTGATGAGGCTAATGCTAATGGCATTCCGTGTATGAGCGCAGACGATTTGAAGAAGCTCAACAAGAACAAAAAGCTGATTAAGAAGTTGGCGAAGAGCTACGACGCGTTCCTCGCTTCCGAATCTCTGATCAAACAGATCCCTCGTATTATTGGTCCTGGTCTAAACAAGGCTGGAAAGTTCCCGTCTGTCGTAACCCATGCTGAACCGTTGACAGCAAAGGTAGAAGAAACTAAGGCAACCATCAAGTTCCAGATGAAGAAGGTATGTGTTTGTATCATTGATTGTTTTGTTTTCAATTCTGTATCAATAGGTCTTGTGCCTCTCCGTTGCTGTGGGCCATGTTGAGATGTCCCAAGAAGAGCTCGTGTCCAACATCTCGCTTTCGATCAACTTCCTTGTTTCACTTCTCAAGAAAAACTGGCAGAACGTACGCTCGCTCAACATCAAGTCAACAATGGGCAAAGCTCAGCGTTTGTATTGATTGTTATTGTTTTTGATAAATGTTTTTGTTGTTTAGTTTAAGTTTCCCTTGTGTCATGATATTCACTCTTATTTTGGTTTAATGAAAGATAAGGCATCGTCAAGTGGCACTTTCAAGAATCGTTATTTGTTTGAGTCTTCATCTGGGTCCAACAAAGTTCTGTATTTTTCACTAGGCAAGGCAGCGCATCTTCCTATGATTGCGAATGGGGGTACAGCTATGGAAATCTTTCTCATAAGCTTCTGCTTTGAGAAAGAATTTTTGTTTTGTTTTGAAAAACGTCATCACTGGAGACGATTACCGAGACAGCTTGCACTTGGAATAGTTCGACGAGAGGAGGTGGGAGACGATTAATAAGGCGCGATTATATAAGTCTTCAACTCATAACCCCAGTTTAGTGTCATGCGAGTCTTAGAAAAAGGCAAAGTGCTTCGGCTTACTAGCTGTTTGAAATTGCCACACTTGATGGGTTGTTGAAAAGTATTACGAATTTGATATTAGTTGACTTTCAAGAGTTTTCAACCTCCTGCATTCATGTTCCAAATTTGCTTTATGACTGAACAACCATGCAGTATATTTCCTTACCAAATTCAAATGCATTTAGAACGCTGTAAAACACTAGTCATATCTATGCTATCTGTTATCCGCCAACAATAAATATCATGCCTGCATACCCCAGAAAGGTTTACAAGGGAGGCAGTATCTGAGGTCCTGTCATTGAAGGGATGAAGAGCGGCCTGAAATGCAATGTAAGGCTGCTGTCTTCAGCACCAATAATGAATCTTACTGCTTTGCATAAGCGGCGTGCGTCTCTGCACAGTTGTGCTAAGGGGGTTAAATATTTACTTCTGGTGGCAGAATCTACACACTGTGTATGATCTGCTCCAGGATTCGTGCAGAGCTGGATCGCGTATCTTTTTGACGAGGATGAATTATCAAACCTCCACCTTATAGCATTGCTATCCGTACGCTGTCGCTATCAAAAACTATCATTGGAATGGGCACGACTCTAACGAATATAGTTAACATGGGAGTCTATATAATACATATTGCGGAGTGCATTCGGATGACTTATGCCTCTTGCAGTCTCATCTACTTTTTTTTAGAGGACTTGTTGAAGTTATTTCATACTGTCTAGCTCCTATTTTCTATCAAGTTTATAGATGTGATTGCAAATTTCGATCATACCAGATGATTTTATTTTCGGTGTTCTAACACTATTCAGGCTCAGTTATTACATACCGTGCAAGTAGTAGAGGCAGTTCACTTTCTCTTTATCAATCGTTTCAGACTGTATTTTCCTCACTATGCTTCAGTCTGTTGAACAAACTGACGAGGGCGAGATGCCCGCTTTTGATCGGCAAGTAGTGGCAATTGTTGGCGATGTCGATTTGTCTGTAAGTACATTTTACATATTGAAGTGCAGTAATGGTGAGGACGCCGCAGTGTCTTCGAGAAACGTAATCCAAAAAAGTGGTGACTTACGAAATGTAGAAGCGGTGGTCAGGGCAGAAGCTTTGAAGTTTCACACCCGCCTGTTCGATCGCAATTTGAGAAAAAAACTTTCCGGAGAACTTTGATGTGAGGGTTTTCGTGTTCCAATAATTCCAAAATGAAGCTTGAAAGTGCAAACATGGCGGAAACGAGCTTTATCCGGAGCTTTCAAAAACAGTATCTAGCTAAATTAGGTCTTTGGGTTTCCTGTGAAGGATCAAGGAGGCCTGACTGCGACAAATACCAACAGCAGCGCTAATGATCAATTCACCAAAAATTCCTTCCACAAAGCCTCCTGCCCACTTCGGATTCTAATCCGTAGCAAACGATCCTGCATCGCTTTCTCGTTACGCATCACTTTGCTCTAAACCGCTTAGAAATCTAGAAAATTGTTTAAGAATTGTTGTTGGTGATAAGGCAACTGTGTTGAGAAAGGATCAGTACTGATCTTACGGCATGGTTTTTTTTTGGGAGAGGCTTTAGACAGTCACACTGGGTGAGAGCCTGATTGTAGCTGCCTAAAAAACCGCAATGAACAAATATGGTGTTATTACACCATGGAGAATCCCTGTAAAAGCTGAAAAATGAATGAGTTCAAAATGCGCATATCCTAGCAGAAAAATCTGAACACCCACATTTCCTCTGAAGACATTGCGGTGAAACGTTGAAAGTACAGATGAGTAGAAAAAGGCAGTTTGATAAGAAAGTTTCCGTTTTTTTCCGACTTCAATGAACCCATCTTTCTAGACTTCGTGATATTCGTGTCTTTTCAAATCAATGTTGTGGAAGGGGAGTCTAATGCAAATAATTCATTCTTTCCCTTTGCAGCTCACTGATCGTCTAGTCAAAGCTGTAGGAAATGACAGCACTGCGGCAGTTCTTCGTCTTGACACCAAATACTACCAAGCTAGTGTCGGAGTGCGACAGTTCCGCACTGGTCATGATCTGGTGAGATTTTGGAAGCAAGAACCCAACGTTTCTATTGGAGCTATTGTACTGAAGTAAGCGGTGCTCTAGAAAAAAAAATTCATTTATGTGAATTCCCCCAAATAGGCTGAATACAAGGCACGAATTGGAGATCATGGAAGATGTGATAAAGAAAGTCAACTGCGACTCTCATGTATGTTTTCACCAAATGTAAGAGATGCTTGCTCCTCTTTAGTGTGTTTTTAGGTTCTCGTGGCAGATCATAGTTCTCTGGATGGTCTGAATTTCGCTCAGTCGTGGGCTCACAACTTTCGATTTGAACTGATTATCCTGAACCCAGACATGGTAATTTACGCTCCACACCGTCCACCCAAACTTAAGTATTCTCATGTGGTGTAACTCCTGATTCAATAGTTGCTTCGTTATTGTAAAGCATTGAAACCTCACTGCTCCGTATTCAATTTTGCTTCGATTTTCAAATGTACTAGCTGTTTCTCCTGCATCCGTGATATTCTGTAGACTGACTATCATTTTAGAGTCAAATAGAAGAAGCCAATTCTTTAAGCGAGCAATGCGGCATCATGAGGCTGAGAGAGGTACTTGAAAATGTGGCGTGGGAGCTGAAAAAAGACAATTTCAAAAAGGTTTGTTTAATTCGGCATCTTAGTGTACCTGTGTGGTCCAGGTACATATAAAAATGAGCATTAACTAAGCCTTATTTTGAGAAAATTCATTAGTGGCTTCGCAGCTGAATGTGTGCTAGTACTGCAGTTTATAAATCAAATCACTGGGGAATGATTCAAAGTGTTTTAAATTGCTACTCACCAATTTTCGGGGAATTTTGTTGATTTTTTGTGGAATCATAGCTTACCAGAGAAACGGTACCTTGTGATGCACATATAAGGATCCGTTATACTATAGTGATACCCATGCAGCGGCTGTCTGTATCTTTCGGGGAACTTCCAGCATATTTTGGTCAGCGCAGCGATTTGCGTGGAGTGAAAATGGCTCAGACAGTCGTGATGAGAATGAAGCATTTTTGCGGTTCAGGTGACTGGAAAGGAAGGCCTCGATCGTCTCTTAGCTATCATCGAGGCGTTAAGTGACAGCAGCGAGGACTCTGATCTAGAGCCCGACGATGAGGATAAAGGTAAAGTTTATTTCAGTTCAGTATGGAAAAACTGGATAGGGGGTTTGGTTACAGAGGCAATCTGGCAAGCATTCTCGTCTTGTGGGCTACCTCCCCACAATTCTGAAGCCACTACTTCCTCATCCATATCGAAGGATAACGTATGCGAGGCATCCGTTACAATAACAATTCAGAACAAAGTAGGTCAAACCTTAACAGGACTGTGATTGTGCCGAATTTGCTGTGTTCAGAAGAAAGGTGTTTCCGATATCGAGATTGAGAATGATCCTAGCAATCAAGAAGTGGATTTATACAAAGCATTGAAGGAAGTGAGTGCTTCAACTATCAGAACTTGTTTCCTCCGGTCAGTCCCGAATCTTCAACGTCTTCTTTTCGGTCACTCCAGATCTTATGAAAAATCGAAAATGACTGGATTGAAGGCCCGAAGAGTGAATGTCGGGTGTAAGGTTCGGATATCGCTGCTGTACGCTGCGATAGCAATGTTTTGGATTAGATCAGTGAAAAGTGGAGTCAATGGAAACCTTTTGCAGCATAGCCAATCACAAGCAATCATTCCCTTTTCAATAAGAGTTAACTATATCTTACTTTCAGACAAGGGAAGCGAATATGAAGCAAACGGATCCAGCCAAAAGAGCCGATAATGCTATAGCTTACTTAGCAAAGTTCCTGGATGTGACAGATTTAAAGCTCGATAAAGACGAAGAGGCAGCTCGTCAGAAAAAAGCGGACTGAGACCCAGTGACAGCGGATTGCAGACCATATAGATTCGACAGTTCGTCAACTTAATTTTCATGATTTCACGACTTCAAGACGCATGCTTTGGAAGCGATGTATTGTAAAGTTCGAGTCTTGCTGCAGTTTCCCACTTTACATGCTTTCACAATATCTAATATTACTTCATTGTTTCACCTGTCAAGTATGTGAAAACCAAGCAAATGAATATGTTCATACATGATCAGAAAATGTACATCACTCGGAGAAATCAACACAGTAGACGCTAACCCTGTAATCACTACACGACAAAGAAGAAGAAAAAAGAAGTAGTTAGTTAAGGGTCTAATAGCAAACCAGTTTTGTAGTATCTCGAATTCTTCATACAATAGAATATTGTAAATGGATTAATCCGGAAGACAGCTAGAGTACCCATTCAAAAATCTTAAACCTATGATCGCAACACGATTTCATACAGAGGCGTTAGATATCTTGATATCTGAAATATCACAAAAGAATACAGTACTCAAACAGGCAGCAAAGCTGATAGATAGGTAGTGCCGAGCCGCATACATATGTTTTAATCTGAATGCAAATGATTGAGAAGAATTTGCAAAGAAGGCGCATCGGCATCGCTGGACAAGAGCACTGTTGCAGATTATAGCTAGTACAAGCAAATAACTGGAACACGCAACGCCTAACATAAAGTATATTCAGTCATCTCCAGGATGCTCGGGGCAACAATTTTTACGTTTAAACCATTCATCGATGCACCTGAAAGAACCGTAGTTACACCAACCACTTTAAATTCAAGCTTATATCTTTTTTCGCGGGTGCGTTTTGGATAGCGATGGCAAATGCATTTTTCTCAGAAAAGAGGGGAATCAAAACTTCATCTTAATGCAGGAAGTTACGTTTGGCCCTGTCAAAGCAAACCATTAGTGAAAGAGTACTGTAGTTTCATTTTTGTTTTTAGTTGTGCTGAAAACAAAAATGAAATTAGTACGGGTCTCACAAGCTAAAAAAAGCTGGCCTCCAGGAATAGACCTTATTGATTTCCGCAAAACTAGTCCCAGAACTTGAAGCGTCAACCCAAAATCTTTTCACCTCAGATTACTACTTATCCTACCCGCTTTGTCCCGGTCCCCTAATGTTGCCTACAAAAGGAGATAACGGACCTAGATCCTCTTTGCGCTCCGCCCCCTTTTTTGCGCTTCACCCACCCACGGATTGCCCCATCACGCGCTTGGCATGATAAGCAACGTCGAGACGCATATTTGTGATGTGGCACTGCTGCACACGACGAGATTTCCTGTTGCATACAACGCGACTAAAATCGTCCACGTCTACCAAAATAGGGCTCCATATAGGGGTATTTTCGGAGCATTCTGATAATTTGAACCCCGTATCCAAAATCAGCGCCATTAGAAGGCCCGATAACAATAAAAACATGGTAGACGAGATTTTGTGTGGACGCTGCTTTTAAATAAGTGCTGGGTAAACAACTACTTGTTTCCGCATTTAATCTCAGAAGATTGCGTAATAATCATAACTAGAAATATAAGTAGAAAAAAGCTTGCGTACTGTTTATGGTATATGCAAAGGCAAGGCAGGCGAGCGATCATATCTCCAGTCAACATCTCTTCCAGGCAAATAGAGCATTCGCCTTTATCTTCAGTGAGAACATCATCTAAAAAAGGGCATTCGAAGCTCTCCGAAAAAAAAAGAAGAAAGAAGCAAGAATAAAAGGAAGGAGAAAGGTAAGAAAGAGCTGCCGGCATATAAATTTCACTCAATGAACGTACCATTATATGTAATCTTCGGTCTAGTAAGGCACATTACGAGATGGACATCCGCTTCATCTGACGGAACATTTTTGTGACAAATCGGACAAGTCATATCTTCTCCACCTAAACAACAATCAATTTAAAATGTTCAGTGAGAGCACATTCGGTGCATACAACTACGCAATCACTGTAACATTCACACTCATGCATCACGGCAAACAACTAGCCATTTTTGATTAAAAAAAATAAATGTTTACAAATTTCACAAAAACAATTTACCCTACCCATCATGAAAACAGGCATCGAGCGTCTGCTAAAGTTACCTCGCAACCGTCCGCTTCGAGCATGGTTGAGGCTTAGACCGCCATGAGGACGCAACCTAGAGACAAGTTGTAGAAATGTTTGTATAGAACTGCTGCAGAAACTTCGCTGCAGCTTTGGTAGTTTCTACGGTGTTCCACAAGATCTCCCCAAATCTACTCGATTTTTGCTAGAACCTTGTCTAACCTTGAACGATCTTCTTTGATTTTTGACATAAGGTACATCGCAATGCCAACTCACAAACCTTTCCTCTAATTCCTGTTATGTTTCAATACTTGCCAAGCAGGATCTAGTCTAAACGACCTGTAAACACGCTGACTGCACACTGCGTGCAGTTCTGAGTGTTTATGTCTAGCTCCACCTGATAGCTCCCCTCTGTACGTCTTACTCTAAATCACAGATTCTATCGGAAATTTATTAATCTACTGCAAAGCATGTGTTTGCAGAAGGGGTAAAAACTTTGTCTTTGAAACATAATGCAATGATATCGAAGGATGGGCAAGAAACTTCGGTTGTATCACCACAAAAGATTTTCTCTGATTTTGCAGACTTTACGTAAGATGTGCACATCATTTTTAGAAAATGTTAGGTGGTGCATCTCTACAAATGGATTGCAACGCAAACGGTCTTTAGTTTGGCATAGTGATCGGAAGTTCCGCAACAATTTCAGCACGCTTCTCGCACTGTGCCGAAACTGTGCTGGAACTGTTCTGGAACTTGATCAGTATGAGACCAGCCTTATTCTTGCATCTCTCATCTAATTCTGATGCGCATGACAGCGTCTGGGCAAGCATGAAAAAATGCATCGTACAAATACTGAAATCGTGATAGAGCTCTTGCCCAAGTGACATTGCACGAATTTGTTTATAATGCGAAAAATCGCTTCAGGGCGGCTTTACGCCGCGCCATAGTTGAACGCCATGAGTAATTTGTCATTTGGTGTCGCAAAATTTCTTACTGTTAAGCAAATTGGCTGTACGCGACACTAAATGACAAATTACTCATGGCGTTTTACACAATGTGGATGAAGTGAATCAATTATAGGTGTGCCAGAGTGAGCATATCGCACACGGTCAAGACGTAGGGCCCCACAACTCTGCGTCTTAATTAGCGGTATATGTCCAAATGTAAAATTAAATGCAGCAGCCCGGGAAAATTGCAACTGCGAGCTTTCCACGCCTACATGACCTTCTTGCGCTGAATTCAGTGCTGTGCTCGAAATGTCAAAAAAGTGCTTTTTACCGCTTTTCCTACACCTGGAGATAGCTGAAGGGGCTGGGCGAAGGATTCCCGCCAACATCGCAATTGGTTGCCTGAGCCGATCAGCCAATTACCGCCAAAATGGGGGAAGTTACAGTTTCTTGCAGCCGGTCGCTGTTGGCGGAATCCCTCGCCCATCCCCTCCAGCTATCTCCACGGTAGCAAGATGCCGTAACAAGCATTTTTTTTTGACTTTTCAAGCATAGCACTGTACTCAGCGCATCGAGAAGGCTGTGTAGGGTGGAGAGCTCGCAGTCGCAACTCTTCCGGGGCACTGCCTTTAGGGGTTTCTGGAAAAGTCCGTTTTCAACATTTGCGTTCTCTCCGAGCTGCATTTTCGAATTCAAAGGGAAAAAACCCCTAGGAAAGCGATAGGAAATTTTCATTCGAAATTTTGGGTGAAGAGGATGAAGTTCTCACGCGGGGCGATAGCGCCCCCCCCCCTCACCCAAGCGCGATTTCTTATATGAGGTAGATAGCGAAAAAGTCATTTTGAAGAGGTCCTCCGCCCGCCCTTTAACGAACTAACAGTAAGGTCCGTATGCACGTACAACCCCGCAGGGAGGGGAGGGGATCTGAGAGGGAAAGCGTCATTATCGCTACTCTATTATCTTTCTTCTTCTTTCTCTATCTGCTTATGAAGTTTCTTGTATAGGGGCCTGCAGGATCGCGAGAGTCGGACGTGCGTACGGCCATTGCGCCGCGCACGTCAGATCGGCGTCCGACGACTCGGGTAGGTGCCAGACTTATCCTGTTCAACAGGTTCATTCGGTTCACCACCTTTTCTGTGGACAATGTAGTGATTTGACCCATGAGCCGAACGAACCGGTTGAAGCGGATGAATCTGGCACCTGCCCTAGTGACATCAGACGTGCGCGGCGCAATGGCCGTACGCACGTCCGACTCTCGCGATCCTGCAGGCCCCTATACATAAAAACTGCGCATAACGGATGCCAGGTTACCGCCAGACAAGATTAGTTTCCCACTATATTGTGTGATCCCTGGGGATCATCTCTCGTTTTCAAAGTCATTTACCTTCCTGACAACTCAATGAAAACGCTGTAAAATTGTACTGAATATACACTACGACACTGCTGAGCATGTTTTCGACAAAAAAAATGGAGTCTTAAGACTGTGTTTTTTTTTCAATACCTAGCTAGCGAGCAGCGTTTCATCGAAGATTTCGATATCTTGAGTTTCACTCATTACTACTATATGTTTAGTGGTGCGGTACTATATCCTCAGTACGATTTTACGGCATTTTCATTAAGTTTTCAAGAAAATAGATGACTGTGAAAATGAGAGGTGGGAATCTCCAGGGGATCAGACGAAATAGTGAATATCTAACCTTGTATGGCAGTAATCTGGCATCCGTTACGCGCATATATTGATGTATGAGAACTTCAAAAGCAAGATAGAGAAAGGAAGAAAGATACATAGACTAGCGAGCTATGAAGTTTGCCTCTCAGATCCTTCCCCCCCCCCCACGGTATGTACGTGCATACAACCCTTAGAATGCATGTGATTCTGATCGGGATCAGCAAGCATCTCTGCACTCTAACACTATGTAGTCCGATACCATACTTATTGAAATCAAACACGTGTGAGCCCTTTCATAAGGGGTGCGAAAACTTCCTGTTTCCGATTGTTTTAAGCAACTTGGAGCCCGCGTTCTTGTTTAGCGCGACATCAACGGCCGATAATGATAGAAATCTATAGCTCGCTGACTTGCCCAGACGCTGCCTCTAGGTCCCATACGAGCCTACGAACCCTTCCACTGAGCAGGCTCAGAACCGGCTAGCCACATAACGAGCATTTGGAATTTGAAATCGTGCAAGACAAGCTCAAATGCGCCAAATATACCAGCAACGAGTAAGAGTATGTATTGCAGTTGTTTTTAGCAATAATTGCAGCTTAATATTTTTTCCTACAAAACTGGTCACTTTCTGCAAATTTTTTGTTGCATAAATATTAAATCAGAACAGCAAGGCACTATATTCCGTTATCTTGCTAAACGCGAATCATACGTAGAGACTGGATGCGGTTGCATCCGACTGGGGCAGTTCTTGCTTGTGAAAAGGGGAGCGGAAGAACAGAAGACGCGCACAAGAGAGACATCGACAACGTCTACAGCAGCTCCGGCCTCTGTGGTGATGAATCACCTATATTTTGTCGTTCCTTAATTGGCACACGTCGGCGCCCTCACAATGGCTTCAAGCTGCGAAATGCTTGTACTATGTACCGCTTCCGATCAGACAACGGCTCACTAAAGACACTCGCCATTCGATCCGCTTAATTCGCTTCATCCACTGCGCCATTTCAGTTTGTTGATTTGGCCAATAGCGTAGCGAATTGGATGAAGCGGATCAAGCGGATCAAGTATGGCGCGTGCCAAACAGGGCCACATTGGCACTAGTGCCACGTACATAGTCAAGGCGACGCAACTCTCTAACCCTCAGCTCTGCTTCGGATAAAGAAGGGACGATGCTTAGGGTCCCAATCGCAGTCAGGGTTGTGCGTTTGGACTGTGAGAAATTTTTTTAGGAGACCAAATCTGCGAAATTTCCCAATTATATGAATCTCTGCGCTGTATTGGTGATTAGTGGGCCTTCCAAGATATCAAAAAAGATTTTTGTTGATTAAGAATGAAAACAATAGCATTCTCCTTTACCTCATCGGATGCTGATGGAGCGTTGAAGGACCCGCATCATCTTCGGATCCGTTTGAATCTGATGAAGAACCGACTATGCGCGCATTTCGTATAGTCTGAATTGATTGATATGAGATAGAATAGAATAAGCTCTTGACATTGTAATACTTCAACACTTCCACCACTCTCAAGGGTCCTAAACTCCTGAGACATGCTACGATGATTGCAACTAGTTTGACTTTGGTCTAAGGCCCCGGACAGACTTCACGCGATTTGATCGTCACGACTCAATCGCCGACATTTCCATTCATTTTCATTTCACATTCAAAAATTTCGGGCTGGAAAAGTATCGCAACCGAAATGCAAGTTGATCGGCATGTAATGATGTTGTAACAGTTGTCTCGTCGCGACTCAGTCGCGACGATCAAATCGCGTGAAGTCTGTCCGGGGCCTAATGAGGTCTTTACCAGGAAACATCGTCTATAGGCGACGCAAGCGTGCGTTGAGCATTTATTTTTTTTCGGTAGCAAGGCGCAAATTCCCAAATCAGATGGCCAACCTTCGCCGCATTCACGACCGCTTCACTCAGTAGGCATCCCTTCGTCTGTTCCAAGCTATGAACCGCTTGAAATCAACTCATGGCAGTGTCGATTCCATTCTATGAATCTCTGTACGTCCGCGGGAGGGGGATAGAGGGGCAAAAAATTTTTCAAAAAAGGTGCATGGCATCAGCCAAGCATACTCCCAAGAAATTTGGGGAGAGGGGGCTTTTTAAAATTTTTGCAGACCCATAACCTCTAAAATTCAAAAAAGGAGGCGTGACGACAGGCACACGCCAAAAGTTCTTTCACAAAACTAATTTGAATTTTTGAATCTCGGTCCGCGACTAATAGGTAAGGCCTCTAACTGATTAAGGGAGAGAGAAAGTAGAGAGTATGAATTTATTCAGAGAACATGCATGAACAGCGTGAGGTTTGTTCTCCCGACAATAATGCGATGACTGAAGGCAGTGTCCAGGCAGATTCTCGACTTCCATTTTTATGCCTTATCCTCGCCTTTTCAAGGCGCTTATTTCATATGGGACTTGAAAAGCGTGAATTCATCAGAAAAATCTTTTTGGGCTATTTTGTGAGAACCGCGGACGAGTGCCCTTAGCGCTATCTTTGTCGAAAGCAAGGACTAAAAGCAGTGTCCGCTAAAATTCGATTTCTAAAAAATATGCTCACGGGGTTATCCGCAACGCTAAATCCGAAAATGCCCATAAGAAAGCACGAGATTTGCAAGAACATGCGTTTCCTAGACCTTACGATTTGAAATAGGACGGTTCCCACCAAGAGCCTACGCCTAAATGTGGCGGCATGCGTACTCTACCGCAGAGAGGTACTAAAACAGGTGGAGGGCCTCGCCCCAGGAGGTCAGTTTCCTAGTTTTCCGATCATATTTCTGGCTCCACTTGTCCAGACACTGCCTTTAACAAGTGAATATGTTTTCGATTGTGCTTGGAATGTGACGCGCTAAAGGCTAAGAAGATTTCGTTCAAGGAGGTTGACGTCGTAAAATGGGCGGGATTTAAATTGTTTTGGTGATGCAAACCTATCTTCCTCTTTAGGGGCAGTGTTTGGAGCCGGTTTTGCGCTGTAGTTTATGATCGAGGCCTTGGTACTCGATTATGATTAGAAAGACTAAATCTGCCAGGATCCTGCCTTTCTTTATATTCCCATTATTGTCTAACGTACTCTTGAGAAACCATGCAGGTGGAAACGGTCAACAGGCGCGATTGCTATGGTCAGCGACTTGGAAGCCCAGTTCAGTATTACGCGAGTACTCAGAAATACCGAAAAAAGCGCTTCGGTTTACTATTTAGCTGTATGGTGTTGCCACTAGCTGATTTTGATGGAATCTTAATGAAAAATGAGTTGCTTACACGGTATCAATCGCATTCAAAGGTTTCTGACCTTCAACGTCTATGTAAATTCATTTTGTGGTTAAGACTCAACCCATGGAGCTATCTAGTTTATCTCCTTACAAACGGATGCATTTGAAGCGTTGTGAAACGTAGATTACATTCTACATATTCTTGTGAACAGATGATAGTCCTCACAGAATCCATAATTTTCAGATTTATTTGTTGAGTTTTTGAATTAGCTGCAAAATTACATAGAACCTCAATGCATCTGCAATTCATCATCTATGATTCGGACTATATCCTTACCGTAATGCCAAAGAGGCCCCAATCATAGATTTTAGGTAACTCTTCAGAACGCCTCATAATTTTCTCGATATCGGATTTTCTTCGAAATGTATGCTAGCAATAATGCCAGAAAAAGCTTGCCCGTACTGAGCGTAATTAATAAGAAAGTGTGAGATTTGGATGCTCGCCAGCTGCGACCACCAAAAAACTATGCGCGTAGATATCGGGAGGGCTAGGCTAGTCCAACCGTGCTCAAAGGTAATAAATTGGGATGTGTAAGAATTTTATGAATAACCATAACAGATCCCATTGTCATATGAGGACCATGCTAAGGCGAGTCATCGCACGCAGAGACTGGGCGCCATTGCCACACTATCGGCAGCTCTTGATGGAGTGCACTATCATCCCTTTCACCGCCTGCCGTCTCTTCCAAACGCAAACTATCTCAGTCTCTCGCAACAGCGTCCAGTATCCGCGTGTGAAGAATCGTCTATGCATATACACAAAAAACCGCTACAGAATTTTTTCTTATTTCAAAATCTTGCCTTGATTATAATATAAAATGAACCTGCAGAAACTCAGCGGCGGTCATCACCGATCTGCTTGGATTTCTGCTATCGTCATGTCCACCCTGCGTTCCAGTGCTGGCATCGACGGAATTGGATCGTGGCCGGTCCTCGGCCACGGACGACTGCCGTCCTCCCATGCACCGCGCCTGCTCTACAGTCTGGAAATGCTGTGTTCAAATCCATAAAGTGGTACTGTAGCGCAAGAAATGTGCGACGACCATCACATGTGCATTGAAAATGAGCATTTTTATCAAAAAAAAAAAACCAGACTGACTGAAGCGCAACGCTCATAAAGTGAGAGGTGAAAAGAATCGGGTTCTCATAACATCCAAGAAAGCAATCGTAATCAGATAAGGGCAAAGCAGCGGAGAGCAAGGTAACGTACAATGACCAAATTCATAAACAAGTAACGATAATCTAAATACGTAAGAAAAAACAGTCCGATGTTTGGTTTAGAGTTGTAATCCTCTTTTGAAGGTCGATTAGCGCTGCAAGCAAAAAATGCGATCCAAATTGTTTCTAATTTGGAACTGAATCACTAGGCGCTTACGAGACGTTTACAGCGACCTTTCAACAATCACGATCGACTCCCAAAGCATATAGTTAGCTCATTCTTTATTTCCAAAAGCAATTATCTACTAGATAAAAAGTGTCACACAACAAAAGCAACTAAGAAATTGTAGTCCACCTTTGCAACATTCAAAAGTTATGAATGCAAAGGTCTCCAAAAGTTGTGAGTACGAAGATTATTGAGAAAATACTGGGACTACACTAATGTTAGAGATTGTCAGGACTGTATAAAAGGAAAATGTGCCCAAGCTCATATGACTGATAATAATGCAAAACAAAAACATTCTAGTCTGGACGAGAAGACCACACAAACAAAAACTCTCAAGTGTGGCCGAGTTCGATCCATAGTCGAGAGCTCCAGAATGAAGTGAGATTTGATCTCATCAGGTGACATAAGCACGTCTTGAGATCTAACTCACCAGAAGGAGACATAAGCGATCGATAAAGAAGGAACGTCCGCAACTGAGTTCGTTTTATCAGCATCGCGGCACGCATTTTTGCGAATTCATCGCTGCCACCGTAGTCGATGCCGTTGCAGATGTGCTCGCTCGCCTTTTCAGCAGCTGCTTCGCTGCAATAAATTCCCTCGGAAGTGCAATTGCTTATCTGTTTGCTGGTCAAAAAGCTCTTTGTGCTCGTTGCATTTGGTAAGCCTCCTTATGGAGATCCATTTTTGACGCTGTACAAAAGCAGCTGGATATATTTCACTTTTCTTTTATATTTCAACGGATGCATTTCATAGTATTTTGAGGAAAAGTTGAAAATACATCGCTTTTCAGAAAGAAAAGTACTGTGCTTTGCGTCGTTTTGTTACAAAACGAGAGTCAGAGAGGCTCTTTAATCAGATGGAAGTGAATCTTGATTATCTCTTTGTTAAGAAAGTTTAGGGCGAAACCTTTCAACGTTGAAGCAGTTATATTTTCTGCAAAAGCGCTTGCCATAACAGCCGATGGCCCCCGTGAGGTTTTTTCATGGGCTCAGAAAATGCGGGTAGGTCGCGATATTCTCCTTGGAGCGCACGATGTTATCTAGATTTACCATCAGCTCCCACATTCTCTGTCACCGTACACTGCCATCAAACTCCGGCCGTCACAATCAGCAAATCCCTATGTCTCAGATTTCGCAAAAGTTTTTTGTTATCCTATCTGTACGCTAAATGTATTACGAAAGAGCGAAACTGCAGTCAATTGAAGCTTCATAGACAAATTATTTGACATGCGATCACCGAGGCACAATCGAAAGCTTTGGTTCAGGGTTGTGCTGATACTTCAAAACGTGTTTTGCTCTTACCTCTTACGTAAGGCGTTACTTAAGAATTGCATACTGAATGGTGCGTTATGCAGAGCTTCGGCAATTTTTTTGAAACTCTTGAAGTTCAACTTTTTGAAATTTTGAACCTTTGAATTTGCGAATGTGCTGGAATTACCGGTCTAACCGAGCGGTAACCGCGGTAACCGGTCAAGTATGGAAACATTCGTCTTGCTGATCGTAATTTTATCAAAGCTTGCCGTGCAATTCCAGTGTATTTTGTTCATGTCGAGTAAATCTTGGGCAATGATCTAATGGAATTTAACCGAATAACACGAGCTTTTCCCCCCTGCTTTTCTTTCGCGATGGTTAATCTTGAATGCTGTAGGCTGTCACTTTTTTGAACTGGTCGCTCAAAGGTATTTCGTCTTGATGAAGTTTTGATAACACGTTTCTGCCCGTGTCTGTTGCAATCCCAACACTTTGCAGATGCCTGAAAGAACAGCGTTAAGCGCGATAGGTCACCTTTATTCAGCTGTGTCCTCTCTAAGGTCGGAGCTTACATCTGCAAACTCTCTGAATGAGGATATCAAAGAGTTACTAGAGCAAGTCAAGATCGTGGAGGAACTGCCTCATTCAACAAATTTGTGCGCTGTCAAAGACTGGAAACCCAGGTAAGCTTTAATGGCCATTTTATTCTCAGAATGTTTTAGCAGATTCTTTTCTGACGCTAATCTATTTTGCGCTCTCAAGTTACGAGAAAAACCAGAGCCAATCACAAGTGGCATGATTTTCTATGTAAGTCATGACGCAACTGATGCTCTTATTACTTTGACCCAGCTCTGCGTATACTGATCACAATCTGTTCGTGCAGATATCCAGAAACCTTCCCTTTGGTGACATGTAGAGGGCGAGGGAACTTATATACCCCGGAAAACTTGCCGATACAGTCCGCTAACGTCAGCTTGAGTTCCCTTTTCCGCTAACCGAATCGCCAACCATCCCCGGATGCGTAATCGGACTCGCCTCATCTATGGTAGGTGCCAGAGTAGGCGAATATTTTGTTCAAGTTGGGGTCCCGCGCAGAACGGACGTCGCTCACCATGCTGGCGTCAATCCAAGTGACGTCAATTCTGCGCGTGACCCCAACCTGAACAAAATATTCGCCTACTCTGGCACCTACCTATCGGGGTCTATGCCTTTGCGGTGCGGACGCGCAACTGCTATGGAAAAGGGATCACTTGGTTGACATCGATTGTAGATAGCTGTCACACTAGTACCACATAAGCTTATGCGGTGCAACCGGTTCGTCCGTTTCACTCATTCGCTATCAGTCCATCATTGAATTGACCATTAGCAAACGGGATGAACCCGATAACCGGATAAGTATGGCATCTTCCATAGTCACCTTCCATAGAGCCGCTGTTGCGTATATTGAAGGCAGTTCATGACTAGAAGAGGCGCAGAGAAAGCAGGCGGCGACAGTGCACGGGCAAAGAGGGTGGCGCGCACCATACACCTTGCGCATTCTCTGCGCCCTGCGCGGACGGCCTATAGGTACCCGCCATACTTGATCCGCTTGATCCGCTTGATCCACTTGATCCTCTTGATCCACTTGATCCGCTTGATCCACTTGATCCTCTTGATCCACTTGATCCGCTTGATCCGCTTCGTGCAAAAAGCACACACACAGCAGTCTGTCATTTGGCGCCGCGTAGGTAAAAAGAAATTCTGTATGGTCAGGTAAATGCCAGAGTAAGCGAATATTTTGTTCAGCTTCGTTCAGCTGCAGAAGGCGCACAGAATTAATGTCTGCTGCATAATCTCTAATGCTGCCAAGGCCTGCTTCAGCTGCAGGTCCCGCGCAGAATCAACGTTAAATCTGTGCGCCTTTTGCAGCTGAACGAAGCTGAACAAAATATTCGCTTACTCTGGCCCCACCTTACGACAAATACGCTGTACGCGACGCCAAATGACAAATTAGTGACGCGCGTTTTGCACGAAGCAGATCAAGAGGATCAAGTATGGCGGGTGCCATAGCAGACGGATGAGAGGTCATGAATTGTCAGCAACGGTGATTTGCGCGCAATTTGCACCAAAGACGGGTTGATTTTGTAACGGGATTTTATCGAAATTCCAAATTTGAAGTTCAGCAGCGATTTTTGTCCGAGTAGGGTAAAATCTTTTATTTATGGGTATTCGGTCATGGTGTTTTCAAATATGATGGTTTTGCTGGAACTTGAAATTTTGTGTGTAGGTTTCAAACTTTCACTAATTTTCCGGCAAATCTTAAATTGCTATTGTGGTGGTTCAGTGGGATTTTTCTGCCCTTTTCGTGCCCTTGTCAACACTAGAGGAAGTACATGGGTTTATTCAGCAACAAAATTAAGCCGGTATCTCCGGCACACGACAATATGATGAGTGGAGTAATATCGGCCCAGAGGAGGCCGGCCGATGAGCACAAAGAGTCAGCCATGTGGCAGGCTCTTTGTGCCAGAAATGCGTAACATAATGGAATGTAAACAATTCAGGACAAAGAGTTAAGTTTGGGTCGTGTCTTTATCACGACAGCTATTTAGGGGTTTCTTTTCGAACGCTGATGCTCTTGATTGAACTTTGGGATCTCCTTTCTCTTGAAAAATTTGATGGAAAATTTGAGATATAAGAAGGAAGAATTTTGAAATTTCAAGCAAATTCACCATCGCTCGCTGACATTCGTTGCGTACCGGCGTTTTCAAATAGGTTGGCGTACCAGCGGCGTCCCACGTTCTGCACTTAGCGTACCAGCGGCGTTCCTAATTAGCTCTACCAGCGTCGTGTCATTGTGCCGACGAGCGGCATCCTATCAACGCAAGAGGCGAGCGGCGTCCCATCACAGGCTGCGTAATCACCCCATGCTGTAAGCGCAAGGAATACCCGCATGAGATACGACGCAGTAGTTGGACTGCCTCAGCTTCTACGCAGCTGATTAACATTTCTTGGTACTAGACAAGGACTAGCATCAAGTTGATGTTCTTATCGGATTGACCTGATAGCATCTCAATTGAGTGTTGTAGGGGTCACTAACCCTTCGATTTGGATTCCATGGAGTCTATCGGTTAAATTGTAGGATCTTTATCTTCATTTTGGCTTGATAGAGATTATCGAAATAATCACTTGAGCTTACTGAGTGTCTACCAAGATATTAACCACGCTTTATTCACGGCCAACGTTTCGGCGGGGTCGCCTCCGTCAGAGCCTTGAAGGTCGAAAATATAAGTAAAACATTCTCTTAGACGCCAAGATCCTAGCTCAAGATGAAAGTAGAATTGGAGAGAGTACAAAAGGCAAAGAGAGGTCCGGATAACCAAGACACTCTCGGTAACGTGTGATGGTTAGACCACCATATACTCCGATTATACCTCCTCCCCTATTTGTAGTGCTCGGGTGACCTAACCTCATATCAAAACCCGCAGAGGTATTGATATGGCGCCAGTGCCTTGGTGATGGCTATGCACTCTTCCTTCCGGTTCATCTTTGGATTCTCGGCGTTGATCTAGAACGCTTCCAAAGTTTTGCGCGTTAGGAGGTCGGGCTCGTAACTAGTATCGTCACTCCAATATAATCACACAATCAGTAATTTCATGGCACGAAATGCGATGGTTGCCTAACGGCGTAGCTGCTTTCAGTTTGTTCAACCCATCTAAATGTTCTTTAATGCGGCAGCAAAGGGGTCGTGCTCCTTCTCCGGTATAGTATCACCAAGAGGTATTGATATGGCGCCAGTGCCTTGGTGATGGCTATGCACTCTTCCTTCCGGTTCATCTTTGGATTCTCGGCGTTGATCTAGAACGCTTTCAAAGTTTTGCGCGTTAGGAGGTCGGGCTCGTGACTAGTATCGTCACTCCAATATAATCACACAATCAGTAATTTCATGGCACGAAATGCGATGGCTACCTAACGACGTAGCTGCTTTCAGTGTTCAACCCATCTAAATGTTCTTTAATGCGTTCAAATAGTTTCGACTGTGAAGCCGGCCAACTGCGGGCGCAAAATAGCGCGCCTTTCCCATGAGGCTCGATCATGTAATGTTTGAATTCCATGCAGTTTCCGCACTTTGGCACACGGACCCTAGATAGATACCGGCCGGCGACCGTTTGATCGGCCGCCGGTCGGTATGGCTTTTTTGAAGCGGTCACCGGCCGGCATTTAGCTCCGCCCAGATTTATGGAACGGCCGCCGGCCGGTATGGCTTTTTTGAAGCGGTCACCGGCCGGCAATTAGCTCCGCCCAGATTCATGGAACGGCCGCCGGCCGGAAGGCCGTCGTCGGCCAGTGCGAGTGTCTAAGAATGTCGGCAGTACTGGCGTGGCTTCTTCTTCACGTGCAAATTTCAACGCATCTCACCTTCTGTGCAACACACTACATTAAGCGGAAAATTTACTCGAGTGTAAAGAGTTTACCGCAAGCGGACGTTCGATAAAATTCGTTTTGTATGCTGTAGAATATGGGCGTGGTATGTGAGACGAATCAGCTCTTTTCGATGCAGAGTGAGTGCAAATCAGCGTTTCTGACAATTCTGACCTCTGACACCTCTGCCAGATACCTGGCAGCGGGTCTCTCGGGGTATGTAAGTTTCATTCTCCATATACTCAGACAATCGGTGCCGTAGTCGCGCCGGACAGTCGAAATCTGGCAGAGCGGCGGCGGACCCAATTGACCATTTCTTGTAGGTCACGGTGACGTCACCGGCAGGCGAGTGGGACCTTCTCCGGATCTGCTCTCTCCGGAGGTACGCCATCTCTGCTTCGGAGGTACGCCAGATCTGGGAGAGCCGCGGCGGAGAGATTTGCCCGCCGCGAGTGCGCCAGATTTGGGACACCTCCGGAGCACAAAATGGCAGGGCTTCAGAGCACAAATGGGAGGTCTCCGGAGCACAAATGGGGGGTCTCCGGAGCACAAAATGGGAGGCCCCCGGAGCACAAAATGAGAGGGCTCCGGAGCACAAATGGGAGGGCTCCGGAGCACGAGTGGCAATCCCCAGCTGGGGAAACCCCGCGGCTCGGCCATTTCTGCTCCGGAGGTATGCCGTCGACTGTCTGAGTAGGCTACCGCTGGACGCAAAATCTATTGCGCAAACGCGTATTTATTGGCCGCAGCGCATGAGGCGCAACGTTTACGAGGGTGAAGATATGCGCGCGCTGCTTCGTGCTTAGAGTTTGTACATACTACGCTCCAGGCAGCTTGCGGTGCACAAGGCGTAAGCCGCTGCAGTCGAAGCTTAGCAATTGGTGCTTTTCTTCATTTACTGTCCTCTTTTATGTTCTAAAATACTCGTACCTAAATCTCTCATGCAGAGCCAACCATTTTTCACAAAGTTCCGCAATACAAGAGATTCTTCAACACTAGTATGCAATGGAAGGAAATTTAAGTCTCGAGAGTGCACATCATTCGTCTTACGAAAGAAATTATACAAATTGTTGATCAATCCGTACTACCTCCTTCCTCAAACGGTCACTGATCAGCTGCGCCGCTCTTCTTCGTTGTGATGCATTTTCTTGCTCATAAATGAAATGAAATGAAGAGAGCGTCGATGAAGCAAAGCTGCTGCAGCATCTGTATTCCCTCAACAGCATGCCAGTGGCTTACGCCTAGCGCGGCGCTGCCTGCGGCGTAGTATGGATGAACCATTACCCAATATATGCTCTCTGATCCAACAGATTGGCGGCTGGAAGGTGACCGCTCGCGCCTCGACGCGATCTGCGTCTGTCTCGCGACCGTGCTCTATGAATTCTCTAGCCTTAATAAGGTCACGAAGCCGTTTGGGGCAGTTGGATTTTGCTTATCTGGGGCTATTCGTTCCCAAAAATTCACACTGGGAGCGCAAAAACTGCGAGAAAGGGCTGTCAGCAGGAGGAAAATCAGCAGGTGGGCGGGGCCTTCCACCCTTCCAACTTCCGGAGCGAGAAGATCGCTTTGGAAGCTGGGAAAATGATTTTGCGGAGTGAAAGACCCCATCCACCTGCTGATTTCCTCCTGTTTTAGAGCTTTTTTTTTCGCCGGTTCGCTCTTCAGTGTGAATTTTTGGATTCAGCATAGCGAATACCCAGGTAAGCAAAAAAAAAATCTCGAAATCGACTTGCCCGGCTCTGTCTTCAAATGTTTTTTGCACAGGCTGCTCACCAAACTCCGAATGAAGCTAACAGAACTCGAAGAACGTTATCGTCAAATAGTTGACACTGATTGGAATGAACACCTAAAGGTGTTGAGAAAGGAGGGTCCATCAAGCTCTGGTATCAGCTTCACCTTCTTTGAAGACTCAAGCGCAGTGGACACGTTCTTCACGAAGGTAAGTCAATGATATTACCTACCGAAATTTTTCCTCGTTTTTTCTTTGTCTCTTTTATCGCGTGCAGGTGTTTTGGTTTCAGGCTCACAATATTGCAAAAAAGAATGTTCTATCTGAGGGGAGCACTCGAATTCCCATCCCTACACCTCCTTATGAAGTGGAGCAAACTATTACCAGACTGCTATCGGATATCAGAAATTATAAAGCATTGGATCTCACGTAGATATCTCTACAATCTCACTAGTTATGTTGTGATAGCATACTAATAAATACGGGTTTCTTCCATCAGCTTATTCGTTGCGTTGAAGGCTTTTTCCCCAGAGATTACTGAAAGTGTTGGAAACATAATTGTGCATACATTAATGCCACCATACAATACAATACCAGATGTCTGCTGAAAATCTTGCAAACAATGGAGAGCGTGAGGAAGTCAACATGCCTACTGAGTAAGTCCTCTCGTTTTCTCGAATTTTTTTATCTCTCTTGGTAGGTATAGGCGGTTCTCGCAAGCGCACACTGGCCGCCACTGGGACCATGTTTGCATTTTTCGGATCAAACGCACTTTCATTCCTCTAACCTTTTGCTGTCTCCAGAAACGAGTAATGTTTTAGTAGGACGAAATCGCATACCGTCTTTATATGCGATTACGAGCCTATAATTATTCGAAGAAGTCCTTCGTGGGGTAGAGAACTATACAGTGACCGCCAAAAAGTTGCGAACAAGCCGCCTTCCTTTTTTCATCGCTCGCTTTCGGATGGAAAACAAATATGAAAAAATGATTAGATTGCATGAGGTGATAGAGCTATTCAAGAGCTACAACTCACACATTGCACTTTCTGGAAATCATGTATTTTAAAATTTTCAAAAATCTTTGTCTAAAAAAGTCCGAACATGGCCGCCACAATGTTGTCGTTAATTCTTCAAACGCGGAAAATTTCCTTTAGATCTTTTCTTGGAGCAAAAACAGAAATTTTCCGAACAGGTAAGCATATTGTGTTGTAGAGCTCATCGAAAACAATAATCGGGTAGTGATTACTTTCAAAAAAAAAAACCCAAGCTTGATTTTTATTTTGCTTTTTTTTTTCAAAAATAACTTCTAATTTCCCTTTTTAAGCCAAATTTCTTCATAAGGGAACCTATTCAAGACATCCCAACAAAGCTTATTGGATAAAATGGATGCTCTTTGCCATCTTCTATGCATCGGACGTGTGCTTTTGAATTTCTTTGCTGAAAATGGCTCTTGACAATGCGTGCACATGACACCACCTGCACTTCACGACTGACTTGCAAAGCTTTGCAAGCTTGTAGCTCGGCCAGCTGTCATTCTACGAGCCTGCTTGTAGGCTTATTCGAAGGAGCATGACTTCCTCGACACGATGGTATGCAGAAGAGTTGGGTTCGAAAAAGCCCGGAGATTTGACGGATGGGGTGAAAAAGCGCAGCCTTAGAGGCGAGTGGAGTGGAGGCTCTTATCAACACCAGAACAGTCGTGGGGCTTTGGAATGGATCTATTACGAGAAAATCAAGTTTTGAACTTCCAGGATGGAACTGGTGGCGGAAGGAGCTTTGCTCAACTTTAGCTGAAAAATCCTTAGACTACAACTGAAGCTGTGCTTTCTCACCCCATCCGTCAAACTCTTGGATTGCTCAAACTGAACCTATTTGCATACTATCGTGTCGAGAAAGTCACGCCCTTTTGAATGACCTTAAGTATAGGCTCGTGGAGTGACTGCCGGCCGAGCTACAGGCCTGCAAAACGGTGCAAGTCAGTGGTGAGGTGCAGGTGGGATCATGTGCACGCACTGTCAGGAGCCATTTTCTGCAAAGAAGCTCACCAGCACACGTCCGATGCATAGAAGATGGCAAAGAGCATCCATTTTATCCAATTAGCTTTGTTGGGATGTCTTGAATAGGTTCCCTTGTGAAGAAATTTGGCTTAAAAAGGGGAATTAGAAGTTATTTTTGAAAAGAAAGCAAAAATAAATCAAGCTTGGGTTTTTTTTGTTGGAAGTAACCACTACTCTATTATTGTTTTCGATGAGCTCTACAACACAGTATGCTTACCTGTTCGGAAAAGTTCTGTTTTTGCTCCAAGAAAAAACCTAAAGGAAATTTTCCGCGTTCGAAGAATTAATGTCCGCGACAATGTGACGCGGCCATTTTCGGACTTTTTTAGTTAAAGATTTCTAAAATTTTTAAAATACATGTTTTCCAGAAAATGCAATATGTGAGTTGTAGCTCTTGAAGATCATTTTCATTTTTTCATCTTCATTTTCCATCCGAAAATGAGCGATGAGAAAGGGAAGGCGGCTTGTCCGCAACTTTGGTCACTGTATCTCGCCAGTGGGGAAGGTCCGGCGCCGACATTTGCAACAGCCACACACCTCTTGCACTATAAAAAAACGTATTTAGCAGACGTCCTGAACCCACTCGGCGACATACAGTCCTCTACCCTTTCATAGGATACCTTTACCACCAAAGATTGCTGAATGGGGTTTGATAACCAGCATCTTCTCGTATAACTCTCTTGATCATACCGTATGTGCCAAATTGCTCAAATGATTATAATCAAAGATTATAAATCTCGGGTTACACGTTGGTAATGCCGAATTTTTACAGTCGTTTCGGGGAGTGAGTATAGGCCGTCCGTGTTTTGCGCGGAATGTGACGCTGTTGCTTTTGGGAATACCTTGTGATCCAACAAGAGTGCAGACGAAAGAACGGCGAAGCAGAGGAAGAAGAGTGACGCGCAGTACCCATTTCCATGCCCTGCGAGACGGCCGGTAATATGGGCTAATTTTGGTAGAACAACATCGGAGATGTTGTTTTGTGAAAGCATAACTTGGGGAGCCGAAAGCCACTGATTTAGGGTACGTGGACGTTTGCGAGAAGACTTACCGTCGTCAAAATTATAATTTTCCTGGCGCTATTCGGCTATCCGGGCCCCAAAATTTTTTTGTCATGGATTTCGCTCAAACTTGGCCCAGAGGGGTTCTCTGACATGCTGATCACGAATATCGCCTTTTTTCCGCAGGAAAACGTCTCCTTGCAGGGTTACGGTAGGGGCACGGTAGGGGTCAAAATCACGGATTTGCTCGAAACTTCGTCTACAGGGGTTATTTGGCATGCTGAACACGAATATGATGTTTATTTCGTGAAACAGCGCCATCCGATGGAGTTACAGTACGACTACGGTAGAAAGTCAAAACCACGAATTTGCCCGAAACTTGGCCTAGAAGGGTTATTCGGTCCGCTGATGCCAAATATCACATTGGTTTTGAACCGTAGCGCCATTTTCTCGGGTTACGGTTGCTACATGGTAACGGGTGTAAAACATAGGTCTGCCTGAGACGGGAGTACGGCGATTCGGACGATCGTGAAGCTTTGCACACACAACCACCGTCGCGCGCTACATACCCTATTGCGGCTTTTGCCTAAGCAAAGCACAGGGGAAGGATACATTTGGCGATTTGTGATTTTAACCCCTGCAGTAAGCCTACCGTAACCATGCAGGGAGACGTTTTCGTGCGGAGAAAGTTTGACATTTCTAATCAGCATGTCGAATAACCCCTCTGTGCGAAGTTACAGCGGATTTTGAGATTTTGACCCCCTACCATATACCCACCGTAACCCGGGAAAATGACGCTACGGTACAAAACCATTATGATATTCAGCATGAGCGGGCCGAATAACCCCTCTGGGCCAAGTTTCGGGCAAATCCGTGGTTTTGAACCCCTACCGTAATCCTACCGTAACCCTCCAAGGAGGCGTTTTCCTGCGGAGAAAAGGTGATATTCATGATCAGCATGTTAGATAACTCCCCTGAACCAAGTTTGAGCGAAATCCATGACAAAAAAATTTTGGGGCCCGGATAGCCGAATAGCGCCATTTCCCTTTCTTGCTGTGTTAATTTTTTTGTGCACAATCTCGCAAGTCACTTCTCATACTCAGGCCTATCTTGAAGTCGTTGAAAAGCAAGGCGGATGGATCAGTAACTGCTGCATTTCCATACGATACAAAATTCGTCAAAGCATTGCTGAAAGACGTTCACCTCATGTTTGTAGGTGATTCATGTAAGTTCATCTGTAGTCTCTCAAAACACGAGTGAGCTAAATTTTTCCTGCATGATGTTTTCAAATGTATTGTACCCACTTTTCTTGTACTTTACGTCCCTTTTTTTAGTGATGCGAGGGATCTACAAAGACGTCATCGTTATGCTGCACGGAAATGACCTTATCGATGACAGTATGTTGAAATCGAAGACCGAGCCAACTTTCTTTGGCGATAAAATGGTGTGTCCATTTATGAGCAGAGTTTTCTTTTCCTTGTTGTATATACATAGGTTCATAGATCGACGTGCTTCCTCTGGAAAAGGACAGAGTTTTTCGTCAGGCGAGGGAGTACCACACAGAATACTACCTCATACAGTATCTTTTCACAACAAGGCAAGCATCAAATCGAAGGCCTGACCTTTTGAAGGCCAACCTTTTCGAAGCGAATTTTTTTCAGAGTGATGAAAGATGACATAGAGACTGCGCTTTTGGAACTATGTACTGCCAACGAGTTTCCGGATGTGTTGTTCATAAATTCTTGTCTTTGGGATATTACAAGGTTTGATTTTTTCCTTTTGTGACGAACGTAATTAGCTCCGCAGTAATGCTTAGATATAATCGTGCGATTGACGAGACGACGAGACAGACTGCTACCCAACCGCAGATTGAGAGAACATCGCTCGAAGAGTTTCTAGAGCGGTATGCCTGTCGTCGATTCTACGCTATCGTGCCGAATTAGCGCAGGATATTTTCAGAATTTCGATGCTACTGCGACGTCTTCGTCTCATATTACCAGCCACAACACAGGTGAGGAGCTTTTATACTGCCCTATATCTACACACTATCTTTCCTTTCACTGTATGAGTTCTAAATAATCCTAGTTTTTCCCAAATTCTAATTATACCCACAGTTTCCACTCATAATTTCGACTATATATGTCCATACATTCGTTGTAATCTAGGTGGTATGGGTGAACATGCCTTGGCCGCTCCCGGTCGACACCCGTTCCTTTCAAAACAGAGCGGGTAGTACCGATAAATACCTCAACAGGTAATGCATCAAGTCGTGTTATAGATTTATTTCTCGCTTCTCGAATTTGTACTTTTAGGATGTTGATAGTAGACGCGAACTTTCGAGCATCTCAGCTCTTTCGCGCCGCTGGATATGACGTCCTCGATATCGCATTTTACATGCGCAACCAAGCTCTTTATGCATATAGAGTGTAAGTTTTTTCTGTATCGAATGCAATCGATGATCACTGAATTCAGTAAAGATGGCGTGCATTGGGACTCTATCGGAACTCGCATCATGTCGCAGTTGGTTGTCGGACACTTGGCTCGCTCATGGAATATACCGCCTCCACGTAATATACAGCAGAAACTGAATGGATTGTAAGGAATTTAAATTCAGTTTTTACTCATATCTTAGTCAGCTATAGAAAATCAACTACTTTCTTTCAGCGCCGAAAATGCGCTTTCATTTGACGGTCACAAAAACTGGGCTGTCTGTTCGCTCATAGCATTCACAATATCCACTCTCTCTGAAGGAACAGACGAGTACCATTCTTTTCCCGAACTTCTACAGGTAGATTTTTTGGTAATTTATCGCGCTAGGCTTCGGGCATAGTTCACGCGATTTCAGCTCCTCGCGGTTTTTCCAACATGGTAACTGTTACGTTCATTGCATGTCGATCACCCTGAATTAAAAAGAGTCAGCTTATGATAGTTAGTCACGATTAGTCGTGTCGGGAAACTATCACATCGAAATGCAAGAGGATCTCATGCAATGGACACTTAAGAGTTAACTTGTTGGGAAAATCGCAAGGCGATGAAATTGCGTAAACTATGCCCGAAGCCTTACTAGTAGTTTCCGTTGCAGAGAAAGATCCGAGCGGCCGCTCTGCGTGAAATTAAGGAGAGCGATCCAAAGTAAGTTTTGAAAATTTTACAAAGATTGAAAATCGTCAGTAGATCTGCCGGTGGCAAGCGTCCAGAACGCGGTTTTCTTTAACTGTAATCGAATGGGTAAGTCAAAGAAGATCGCGTTCCTCGTTCATCAAAGATTGTGCAGAAGAATGAGGAGAAAGTATAGGTCATTTTTAGACTCGTAACAAGGATTTGACTGCGCTCGTTGCGCACACAGGAGCATAAAACACTTATACAAAGAGGCGTCGCCTCAAAGCTCAACTCAGTCACATCCAGTGTGTAGATACTATCATATGTGAGCAGAAAAACCTTCAAGTAGCGATGGAAACCAAGAAAATGCGGTTGCTGGAAGAGCGTGCGTGTTGCGCGCGATCGCGCCATCGTCACGATTTTTCGATTGCGCTATGTCGTCTGCGCCCCATAGAGTGTGAACCAGCGTGCGTACACGTGGTGCGACGCTGCCTTTCGCTCTTTTTGACACGTTCTCCCGAGATTTCATCGGAAGTGCCCGAGGTTAACACGTTCAAAAGAGCGAAAGGCAGCGAGATGATGTGGTACCTATGGGAATCTTACTGGGGAACAAACGATACATCAAATGATACCTAGAGTGTTTATCAGCTTAGGCACCCGCCATACTTGATCCTATTGATCCGCTTAATCCACTTGATCCGCTTGATCTTGATCCGCTTAATCCGCTTCGTGTAAAACGCGCGCACTCAGCAATCTGTCATTTGGCGCCGCGTAGGTAATAAGCAATCTCGTATGGTTAAGCGAATTCGCTGTACGTGACGCCAAATGACAGACTGCCGAGTGCGCGCGTTTTACACGAAGCGGATTAAGCGGATCAAGCGGATCAAGTGGATTAAGTGGATCAAGAGGATCAAGTATGGCGGGTGCCTTAAGGTCGTGCAAGGTGGATAGACCACATTTACACTTGATTACTCTGACAAATGATAGGAATCATGTAAAACAAAATAGCAAAATCATATCGCATAGGCTTTGCATTACGCTAATGGTAAGATTTTCTCCGGGACTCTCAAATTCTATTTGGTATTTCGATATTTCGCTTACTCAAAGGCAGTTCCGGGCAAGAAGTTGATTTTGAGATATTTGCTTACCTGGACCTATTCGCTATGCTGAATCCGAAAATTTAGCTATAGAGCTCGAAAACGGCGAAAAAGGGTTCTAACGCTGGAGGTAAATCAGCAGGTGGGCGAGTCATCCACTCTGTAAAGTCACTCCCCTTTCTGAGCGATCTTCCTGAGCGATCTTTTCGCTTCCGCTAGCCGCCCCAACATCGCCATCGGCCAAGCGCGAATGCGGGACTGGAAGTCGAAACGAATTGTTCCGGAAGTTGGGAGGATGAGTTCACGGAGTGGAACACCTCGCCTACCTGCTGACTCCTCTGCTGCATTAGGGCCATTTTTTCGCCGTTTTCGCGTTCTCAAGTATTGATATTCGGATTCAGCACAGTAAATAGACCTCATTCAAGCAGAAATTTCCAAAGTTGCTTGCCCGGACATTGCCCTCAGGATGCAGGAACGATGGGATCAAAACTTCTCCGATCATTCGGGCGACTTTTTCATAGAAACAGCTTGAAACAAAGCTGTTGGGAAGAGGAAGGTCTTCGTCGACCATCCAAATTGCCTGTTTAGCTATAAGTGGCGGTGTTGAAAGCAGTATACATGAGTAATGAAGCTGCGCAAATGACTTGCTTTTACTCGCAAATGATTGAAATAAGTTTTGTGAAGGTTGAAAAAATTCAGAGTATCATTTTAAGATCTCCCTGAAGGCATGGCTGCTGCTACGCTCGTTCTGAATACGTCGGGTAGCCGGCGAAAACCATGGAGGCATCACTTTTCCTCAGATGTGGCTGATGCCACGCTCCTTCATCAGAAAAAAATTCCACTATTTCAACAATTTCTCAGATTACTTCCACACTTTTTAATGAAGATGAATGCAAAAAAAAACGCGTCTGGGCCAGGTTGTATATGTACGCATTAATGTCAGAATAGTATTAGGCTAATGCAAGAATAATGGCCGTTTTTCCAAGACAGTAATCTAGACTGAAATATCCGGCAAAATGGCCATTGCGGTCATTCTGTTACCCCAAATCTCCTTCGAAGATGGCAATCGTCAAAGTTTTATTCAGTAAGCGTAAGGGTAGGGCATCCTGTTGATAATATTTGCAAAAAATATAGCCTTCAATACTCAGAAAATCATATAAGTTGGGAATTTGAGGCCTTTAAAAATTGTTGGAAAAACATTTCAGATTTCAATTTTTTTATTTTCTCAGATTTTCTTTGCTCAAGCACCTTTCATCTTCTCTGTCTTCCTGGCTTGCGGTTATAAGATAGGCAATTCATCATATGTATTAACAAACTTTGAAGGGAGTTATGATCTGTCAACAACAAGGTTTTGGGGAAAAAAACTTTGTTCTTCGATCCATATTTTTCTGTCCGATTGTGATGTGAGCGGGAATGTGCGCTGTAATGCAAAAGTGTGCCTCTGATTTTTATCGCATTTACAAAGGTAGGTTTTTCAGAGAGTCAAAGTGAGAATCCGCACGGCCGTCAGCCTAATAACTAGATTATTCTCTAGAATTTTATGAACGTAAGCTTTGTGAAAGCGAAGGTTTTTAAACATCTTTGAAGATTGTGAAGGCTAACAAGGAAAGGATACTTGGTGACCGTGGCCTTTTGAAGTGAAACGTATACATTGAATGTATCTTGAAGCGCTAGTTCCAAATCTGTTTTTGTTACCTGCTGTGCGCTCTTCCGAAAGAAGTTATGAACATTTCTTGTCACCAAAATTTGCACTGTTTTTGATGCGGTATTCACCAATATCGTTAGAATATTCGTTTATGCACTACAAAAGAGCGTACAAATAAAGTAAAGCTTCACGTCAAGCTCAGGAAAACTGTCACCAATACATCAGAGTCTAAGAAGCCTGGATAGTGACGATTTTGACTGCCACTCGCAAAATCAGTATGAAAAAAGTCCATAACTTCGTTCAGGGAGTCGCACAGCAGATAGTGAGCACAGATTTAGAATCAGCGTTCCAAGGCGCACCTAGTGGAATACATCTCATTGCAAAAGGCCACGGTCACCAAGTATCCTTCCTTCGTAAGAGAAAACATTTGCAATTTTGACTGAGTGATCAGATTGTGCAAGCGATTTTTCTGTAGTACGTCAGTCTCGCTGAAGAAGAAAATTAGATCTCAAGGGAAAGTATCAGCACAGATAGCGGCGGCGGCAAATATACTTGTGTCGAAAAGCTATTTTTTGGGTCTACCAACTTTGACAGAAGCTGGTTTATTGTGCTTACTTTTTTCAGATTATACGATGCACTCATGAGCGATATACGCGCAATGAGGATGTGCAAAGTGCTCGAGGATAACCCGGGTACCTCTGAGCGATTGGATGTTGAGCACCTTTGGGAGCTCGATGAAATGGTTGGTTTTGCCTCCTCGTCTGAAGTTCGCCAAGTTGTTTGCACGTGTTATTTCTTTTTATAGCTAAGATTTTCAGGTGAAAGCTTTTCCAAAAGTGGCTGAGTGCATTGGACAAGTTGCAGCGCAGGAGGTTACGTTATTGGTGAATAATACTGTGTGCCGCAAACGCAAGCACGTACCTTAAACTCTCTCCGAAATAGTTTGAAGTAGCAGTATTTTGTATCCACAGCTGTTGTGTTTATCCGCTTAGATGAACAGCATAAGATGAGTTGATCTAGCCCCGACATGTTCAACTTAATTTTTTTTTCGTCTCAAACAGTACATAGGTTAGCAAAGTTTTTTCTCGGCTCAGAAAAAACTGCATATCTTTGCTCTACTTTTTGATGGATGAGCTGAAAGCGTTCAAATATCTTTTCTTGGCTTTGAATCGGCGCTATTTCTCACAGACCAACGTTTCAAAAAACGTCGGAAGCAAGCTTTAAAATTTGAATTTTACATGCATGCATTATGTGTGCAGATGTCACTATTTTTCCATTCTGCTAATGGTGCAACAGTCATACTGGTACTTGGCTATCTCTCTACTCACAAATCAAATTGCCTCCATATCATGGTCTTGAGTACGATAATCATCAGTAACTTGCCTTGCTTCATTTTTCAAGTTCACTTGTTCTTTTTTTTCACTTAATCTCGTCATTTTGTACAGGTTTATGTTGCAATAATATGATTTTTCCCACTATACCGCATGTCACAATAATATTGCTTCTCCTTTAGCATGCACAAATATGCAATATAGTTATGTTTTGGTTCTTCCTCAAAATAAGGATCATAAAGATATTGACCAATATGTTATACACTATCAGAGCACTTCCCTTATTCTTTTCATCTACATGAAGAAGCCCCAAAAAGTTTTTTTTTTCAAAATTTAGCAGTCGCACAGTGACTTAGTGATAAGGAACACTAGCATATGTTGATGTGACTTTCTCAGTTTTGTTGGACACATGAAATTGGAGTTTTCGGATTAGTGCAGAAGGTTTTGCCCGCTTTTGATCTTGCCCACAATTCCCGTACAGGTGAACATATGTTTTAGGCAGTATCTCATGCAGAATTCTTCTTTTCGGCAATCCTGTTCACGATGCAACTCCTCCAACATACGCTGAGGTAATCGTCGAAGCTTGCGACTTCCTATTCATTCAGAAACTCTGTAAATAAATAGACTTACGATTTATACAATTTCTTACTTTCTGTATTTCTCAAAATCTTTATTTGAATTAAGTGTTTCCGTATCCGGCGGATAATGCAAATCTTTTCTTAATGCGTATTTTCATCTATTGTTTTCTGACTTTTGTTTTTAGGTTGCGAAATATTTTTGAAGCGGTTAAGTTTCCTACCTGGTCCTATTTCAGCCTCGTAGAACATGAAGTGGTGAACAGTTTAGGTACTCGTCGATGCAAATTCTTTTACTCTTACAAGCATATCCTTTTCTTTATGGTACACTCGAATCGCAGACAAACGTGTCAGTCAATTTTACACATGCGCGCTTATTTCCATATTTCGAAGAGGTTCGCTCATCTACTTTCCAAAGTTTGTGATAGTGATTAACGAGTTTTAAAAGCTCATTTTATTGAAGATTAGTTGGCTTCCCCCGGTCCAGCCCGGGCCTTGTTCCGTTCACCTGCACTGCAAGCCCCCCGCCCCTATATATTATGGATGACTTACCCTGGGACATCCGATTCAAACCGCATCCTCGTGATCCTGTGGTGAAAATGAGCTTCACCGCCCTCCTTTCACGATTATGGGAAAATGCTTGATTCAACATGATAAGCCTTCAGTTCCCTAGAAAAGCGTAAACAAATCAATAAATCCATAGAAGGACCCAACGAATCGCCGCAAAAAGTAGCCTATCATCTGCGCAGGGATCGAAAACGTGTGTGTGCAAAGTTTCAGCGGAATCGCTTGAGCGGTGCGCGTTTCTATAGCGCACATAGCCTCCAAACTCACAATTTTGAGTTTTATATATATACTAGTTGGCTTTCCCGGTCCAGCCCGGGCCATGGTTCACTGCACTGCGAGCCCCCCCCCCCCCGCCCTATATGGTAGGATGACTTACCCCGGGACATCCGCTTGGAAACCGCATCCTCGTGATCCTGAGGTGAAAATGAGCTTCACCGCCCTCCTTTACATGAGTATGAAAAATGCTTGAGTGAACATGATAACCCTTCAATTCCTTAGGAAAATGTAAACAAATCAATAAATCGATAGAAGGACCCAACGAATCGCCGCAAAAAGTAGCCTATCATCTGCGCAAGGGCCGAAAACATATGTGTGCAAAGTTTCAGCTGAATCGGTTGAGTGGCGCCCGTTTCTATAACGCACATACCCTCCAAACTGACAATTTTTGAGTTTTATATACAGTGACCGCCAAAAAGTTGCGGAAAAGCCGCCTTCCTTTCTTCATCCCTCATTTTCGGATAGAAAACGGAGATGAAAAAATGATTGGATTGCATGTGGTGATAGAGCTCACCAAGAGCTACAACCCACACATTGCGCTTTCTGGAAAACATATATTATAAAAGTTTTAAAAATCTTTTCCTAAAAAAAGTCCGAAAATGGCCGCGTCACAATGTCGCGGACAATAATTCTTCGAACGCGAAAATTTTGCTTTAGGTCTTTGTTTTGAGCAACAACAGAACTTTTCCGGACAAGGAAGCATACTATGTCATAGAGCTCATCGAGGACAATAATCGGGTAATGGTTCCTTCCAAAAAAACCCAAGCTTGAATTTGTTTTGCTTTTTTTCAAAAAACAATTTTTAATTCCCTTCTTCAAGCCAAATTTTCCTAACATGGAAACCTATTTAAGGCATTCCAACAAGGCTAAATTCGGATAAAATGGGTGCCTTTTCCCATCCTCTATGCATTGGGCGTGTGCAGGTGTGTTTCTTTGCTGGAAATGGCTATTAACAGTGCGTGCACATGACCCCACCTGCACCTCACCACTGACTTGCACCGCTTTGCAGGCTTGTATCTCGGCCGGCAGTCACTCCACGAGCCTGCAGGTAGGCTCATTCGAAAGAGCGTGACTTCCTGGACACGATGGTATGCAAAAGAGTTGGGTATGTGAAACAGCAGAGAATTGGCGGATGGGGTGACAAAGCGCGGCCTTAGAGGTGAATGGAGTGAAGGGTCTTATCAGCACCAGAACAGTCTTAGAGCTCCGAAATGGATCTATTACAAGAGAATTGACGGTTTTGAACTTCCAGGATGGAACTGGTGGCGAAAGAAGCTTTGCTCAACTTTAGCTGAAAAATCCTTAGCTTACCACTGAAGCTGCGCTTTGTCACCCCATCCGCCAATTCTCTGCTTTTTCACATGCCCAACTCTTTTGCATACCGTCGTATCCAGGAAGTCACGCTCTTTCGAATGAGCCTACCTGCAGGCTCGTGGAGTGACTGCCGGCCGAGATACAAGCCTGCAAAGCGGTGCAAGTCAGTGGTGAGGTGCAGGTGGGTCACGTGCACGCACTGTTAATAGCCATTTCCAGCAAAGAAACACACCTGCACACGCCCAATGCATAGAGGATGGGAAAGGCACCCATTTTATCCGAATAGCCTTGTTGGAATGCCTTGAATAGGTTTCCATGTTAGGGAAATCTGGCTTGAAGAAGGGAATTAAAAATTATTTTTTGAAAAAAAAGCAAAACAAATTCAAGCTTAGGTTTTTTTGGAAGAAACCATTACCCGAGTTTTGTCCTCGATGAGCTCTATGACATAGTATGCTTACATGTCCGAAAAAGTTCTGTTGTTGCCCAAAACAAAGACCTAAAGAAAAATTTTCGCGTTCGAAGAATTATTGTCCGCGACATTGTGACGCGGCCATTTTCGGACTTTTTTTAAGAAAAGATTTTTAGAACTTTTATAATACATGTTTTCCAGAAAGCGCAATGTGTAGGTTGTAGCTCTTGGTGAGCTCTATCACCACATGCAATCCAATCATTTTTTCATCTTCGTTTTCTATCCGAAAATGAGCGATGAAAAAAGGAAGGCGGTTTGTCCGCAACTTTTTGGCGGTCACTGTATATACTAGTTGGCTTTCCCGGTCCAGCCCGGGCCATTAGTCACCTGCATTGCAAGTCCCCCCCCCCCTTCTTATATGTTGTGGATGGCTTACCCTGGAACCCGCTTCGAAACCGCATCCTCGTGATCCTAAGATGAAAATGAGCTTCACCGCCCTTCTTTACAGACTATGGTAAAATGCTTGATTGAACATGATAAACCCTCAATTCCTTAGAAAAACGTAAACTAATCAATAAATCGATAGAAGGACCCAACGAATCGCTGCGAAAAGTAGCCTATCATCTGCGCAGGGGTCGAAAACATATGTATGCAAAGTTTCAGCTGAATCGGTCGAGCGGTGCGCGTTTCTATAACGCACATACCCTCCAAACTGACAATTTTTGAGTTTTATATATATACTAGCTGATCTGCCCGGTCCAGCCCGGGAATGATCACTGATCGGGAATGAAGATAAGGTATTCGGTGGCATTGTAAAAACTGTGTAAAGAACAAAAACAAAATGTGAACACTTATTAGTTGGTAGCATATCTCTCTTTCTCCAAATCAAGTTCAACACGCAAAACCTAAGCAAGCAGCGCGAGTTAATTGATAGCAGCGCTCATTGTTATTATGAGGATCATTTTTTGTGACACTTTGCCGTTAACCGGCTACTTCATCTTCATTCACTGCTTGCCGTCAATTTTTGTGGAGTCGGCAGTACTTTGCACCGCGCACTTTCCTGGTCCCAGGGATCAACTATAGCGAATGTGAGTTGTCGCTTGTCTTGACATTATTTCTGGTATTGACAAATAATTTGTGCGCAATCTCATGAAAAATTTTGACCCCTCATTGTTCAAATTGAGCATGTAACGAAGAAAGCATTGATTATAAGCGTAAATTGAGCACGCTTCCGTACAAAACACTCGCTACAAAGCACTCATGGTCTCTTGCACGCTAAGGTTTCCGCATAAGATACATTTAGTGCATCCATTCAAATGAGCAATTGAGACTCACATCAAGAACACTTTTCACTGCACTTCGTCAACAGAAGTTCACAATGAGACATGCCAGTCTTGTTTACATATCCTGTTTTGATAGCAAATGATAAGAATCATTTTTATTGCAAGGTGCTGCAAATCAATAAATCGATAGAAGGACCCAACGAATCGCTGCAAAAAGTAGCCTATCATCTGCGCAAGGCTCGAAAACATATGTGTGTAAAGTTTCAGCTTAATCGGTTGAGCGGCGCGCGTTTCCATAACGCACATACCCTCCAAACTGACAATTTTTGAGTTTTATATATATATATATATATATATATATATA